TACTATTTAGTTATCTTACCATTACCGATGTAACATCGTATGTACATCATAAATTCCCAGTTTCTTTCTTGCTGTACATTGCAACCAAAAAAACTTGTGAAATCAACCAAATCATTACTGTAAACAGTTCCATTAATGCTCCTATCTCCTAGACCCATAGTTCACAAAAAAATAACTCTTGCACGCCTTGCGTGCCTATGTTTTATTTAAGAGCTAGCCATTTACTGGTTCTTTCATTTTCCTTCATTTTTGTTCAATTTATTTAATTTTCTATCCATTCATTCATTCATTCACCCACCCACCCACTCACTCACTCACTCACTCACTCACTCACTCACTCACTCACTTCATTCATTCATTCATTCATTCATTTACATATTTTTTGCCTTATTCATTTTGATTAATCAGTTACTTTGATTTTCCTATGTTCATTTATGTAGTTTTCATTCCTTTATTTAAATTTATTTTATTATATTCCTTCACATTCATTCAACTCAAACTACCAGTTTGGTTTCAGGTTTCAAGGGTGTAGAATCAGGCTTTCCACTGGATATCCCTATCAACGAATTATACAACACTAGAGAAAATGTACAGATAGAACAAGCACACATGAACGCTTTTGATGGTAGGTATACAATAAGTGCCAATTTTCTGGGGTTTGTTAGGATAATAACAAATTCATTTCAAATGTAATGTAATTTGACTGTATATTAGATAGTACACAAGACAAAACAGTTTTGGATTGATATTTTACAACAAAAAATTAAAGCAAGCATTTAGTGATGCAAATAATTTTGTGATTGTCTTAAAGTTTATTAAATTCCACCCATGGAAAGAGTTTTTTTATATTGATCACGCATGGAAAATAATGTAAGTAAGGAATTAACAGTAAGTGTTTTCTCTCTTAGGAAATTCCAAAGGACTTGGTGCAGTCCCTGGTAGAGAAGAAGAATTTAAGCAATGTTTAGAATTGTCTATTAAATATGCTGAAGCTGTTAAGTGTGCGAGGTAATTTAAATATCATAGAAATTAGAATAAGAAATTATCACATAGTAGAGCAGGGGGAAGAATTTGAGACCGACGATCTTGAAACTAACCTGTCATCTGGAATGCATTCTGTTGTGCTTGATAATATTATGCATGTATTTTTTGCAGTTGTGTGCTTCCTTTCCTTCAGATTACATGTGTTAGCTGGTGTCTACCCTGGAAATGTGGATAAAACAGATAACAAGTTAGCAGCTTTGTGGGAGGAGACATACATTAGGAATATGAGATATGCTGCTCAAAGACTTCAAGAGGTGAGACAATGATTCTTGTAGCCTGGGTTTATCTTGTATTCAATTTTTGTTGTTCTGACTGATGAATGGTTAACCCTGATATTAAGTGAAATAAATATTGTGTGACTAGCCGGGGTGGGGATTACTCCCTATACGGGCTATATAGGCATGTTCAGCCCTAAAGGGTATGGTTTTTAAGCCACTTTGGTTCTGAAATAGGGTATTGATTTTGGCAATGTTGCATGGTCTGATATAGGGTACGGTTTGCATGTAAAAGGGGTTTGACATGCCTACACAACTCCTACATTTGCTGGTTTCTTTTGATTTTTAGTCTTTATTGCACTTATTAAAATTGAGTTATGTTTTATCACTATTCCAGTGTGGGATCACTCTTTTAGTAGAGCCAATCAGTTCAATTCCAGGATATTTTTTGACTCACACACAGCAAGGTATTTATTTATTTTGCTTTGTGCATTATTGTCATTGTATGTATTTGGTATATGTTATTAATTCTGGTTGTGAGTTGTTTTAATTTATGTTCATGAATTTAATTTGTGTTAAATGTTCATGAAAAACTGAGATTTTTATCAATCCTCCTCTAATAGCAATTGATTTAATCAAGAAAGTGGGTCACAGTAACATGAAACTCCAACTGGTAAGTGACTGGAAATCATTCTGCCTAATAAAATTGGTTCTAAATATTAAACGGGAGTCCCCAGCTAAGTATTTATTTGAAGAAAATTGTCACTGCAAAAAATCAGTTGAGAGAATAATATATAATTGAGGGTTACCGTTGACTCTTGCAGTTTATTTTTCACTGTCTCATAAATCAGGCAAGCTCGGAGAAGGGCTAGGTGTTTTGAGATGAGCACCGCCATACCCCAACCCCTTCAGCTTCTTGTCCATACCACCTATTTTTTGGTCGCATTTGTTGGAATAAACTCTCATCAGACCTTAAGAGAAAAGACCAGCTGCAAGTTAAGTTTCTCATTTGCAATGCTTGTTGGACATACATGATGATTTATGCAATCAATTAATGTTTGAAGATGGGCTTGAACACTTCCCAACCAGTGTTCTATGGCACTTCAGATACCATTGAACTAATTTTGTGATTTGTTCACTCCTGATCTTCTTTGGCAGGACTTATATCATCATCAACGAACAGCTGGCAATTTGACACAAACTCTGATTGACTCCATGCCTTATGTTGGTATAAAAGCCATCAATTTTCTTTTACTTTGTTTTTGTTTTTGTTTTTTTTATTTTGAATTTACTTTTTTTTTCATGCAGAGAGGTAATTATTTACTACAGTTTCAAGACAACAACAACAAAAAAACACTAACTAAAGATGAAATTAAAAACTCATCCAAAAAGAGAAAATTACAGCTGCAATAACAACAACAAACAAAATGCTGGAAAAAATAATTTTGAGGTGGTAATTAAATTACTTTGGAATGAAAATAAAAAAGCTGTCATTATTTAATATTTAATATTTAATATTTTCTTTAGTTTTATGTCAAAGGGCATTTAATAGTATAGTGCAAATATTTTACAGTTTATTTTTTTTTTACTATTAAACTAGTGTATCTTTCCAGGACATATTCAAATAAGCCAAGTACCATCACGGAATGAACCTGATACAGATGGTGAAATCAACTACCCATACATATTCCATCAAATTGCAAAATTAGGATACAAGGGATGGATAGGCTGTGAATACCATCCTAGAGGTAAGAGACTTCTGTCAATATTTCCACCCCCTTTCAACGATGTAGTTTAGAGGGGTCTGCGACAAATGCAGACTGCAGAACTTGCAAGTCCTGCTTAGCCTGAATAATGTTCATGATGGCCTGAATTTTGGTTTTAATTCAAAAGTTTTCAACTTATAAGTTCTAAAGAAATTGTCATGGTGGGCAAATGAAGCACTGCATCCATTAGTATTAACTTCAAGATAAAGGTGTCTGAGTTCATGTCTGAAACCTTAGCCCTTTGTAAAGTGAAGAGACAGTGGAGGGCACGTTAGGTCTCCATGCACAAACTTCTTCAGTCATCCTGAGTTTTCTTCCCTTTTGTTGGTCCTATGTAAAGGCTAAAGGTACTAAATTATCCTTCATTCATGTTTCCACTCTTTTGCCATGCATTTGTCAAATTTGCTCTAGTAATTTGCATTTTATATAAATTTAGGTTTAGCAACCTCAATTGATAAATTTATCAGGATAACCTGCAACCATGCTTCAGATGAAGAGAATGAAGATCATGTGTACTAAAGGCATCAGGGGTCAGGTGTCGATTGATACTCTTGATTGATACCCTTGAGCAGCCTTTGACTGACACTTGATTAATACTTGATCAACACTCCATGTACACCTCAATTGGCACTCAATTGACACTCGGCCGACTAGCGACTGACTGTTGATCGAGTGTCAATCAAGTGTCAATCGAGATGTCAATTGAATGTTGATCAAGTGTCAATCAAGATGTTGATTGGATGTTGATCAGGTGCCGATCGATCAAGGGTTGATCGATGGTATTGATCGACACTCTGCTGCGGATTCCTTTAATACATACATGTATGATCTGAGTTTGATATGCAAAATGATAACAGATCCAAATCTGACAACTTGATCGAATGTTGAAAGAAAATTGTTGGAAGTAATACCCACCCAATAATTTTTGACTATCAAATGTTTTGTTTTCTTTTTAATAGGTCGAACAGAAGATGGTTTAGCATGGTTAGCACCTTATCTAGTTGATTAAAGAAATAAAGTTTCCCAAATTTTTAACAGGAGAAGTCAGGTGGGTGGTAAGAAACTAGAATGCGTTTTTTTTATTATTATTATTGGGTTTTCCTATTTGCCTGTGGGTCTTGCAAAATGCCAGGTGCCAGTTGTTCTAAAGGTGGATAATACTATCCAGTGGATAAGCGTTGACAAAACAAACCACATTATCCACTGGATAGTGATTTATCCAGTGGATAGTGTTATCCACCTTTTGAACAACTGGGGCCAGTAGTTTATGTCCAGAGTTTTACATTAATCAGGTAGCAACTTTTTATGAAGAAGATTTATGAGATTTTTCCTTTGCATTATAAGTGGAGAGTTTTGTTCTTGTTTCTCTACTGCATTTAAAAGTCCATCTAATTCTGAATGTCAGGATCTATACAAATATACTTATACATGCCTTTAATTTACTTTTCCAGATTCCGCATTCCGGTGACGTGAAATCATACTTCGAGAATGGAGGTGGAATTAGCCCAGTGGACAAAACTGGTTATGCCAATCGACTGAGAACTTTTTAAAACTGTAACAAAATTTTGGGTGTTCCAAGTCATACCTCATACCACAAAGAAGCTGCTCCTGACCTATTTGTTTTCACACGTCGAGATATGTATAAGATAGTATTTTTAAAAGAAATTAATGGTAGATATAGTTAGATGTATTTTTTCTTTGTATTGTAAATTAATGGTATTAGTTCGCGTTGACGGTGATAGCGAACTGGTATTTGTATGACAATTACAGTCTATCTGAAGTTTTCTGAATTTTGTGTGTGAATGATTTGTGTCAGGCATAGGAGGAGAGCGGGGGTTGGGGAGTGAAATGGGAATCCAACCTCGTCTCGAGGACGAGACTTTTGCTCCCAGATACAGGTCATCTGGTTGTGTTCCCTTCACACCTGTTTTGTTTTATTGTAAAAGAGAAAGGGGTTCAGATATCTCCAGGTTGAGGTTTATAAAGCACTTTATTTCTGATATCAAAATTCTTGCTGCATAGAGATTTTCCTAGCTAGCAGCGTTACTTCTAAGTTGTAGAGAGCTGAGAAGACTGAACATTTTTTAGTACAAAAAGTATTCCGTCGTCACAGCTAAATTTGTGTGTTCCGTTACTTGTGGTTGTCAAATCAAAAGAACGCATATTAATTGTGCTGCTCAAAGAACCTTAGGCCCCGTCGGCGAAATTCGAAGACGCAGCTTCATTTCTAAGGTTAGGCCTGCCGTCCACACTAGTCCGTCACAAAAACGGAGCTTTCCGAAAACGCTCTTAAAACCGGAGAAATTGTAAACGCCGGCTTTGCGTTTTAGCGTGAACAGAAAAGATGTTGAAAACGGGGCTTTTCGAAATGAGGCGGGTGAATAGGTTCTCGGATCGATGGATTTGGCCTTAAAAAGCGCACGGATTGTGGATTTTTGCGGTAAATCGAGCGGATTCGCGGATTTTGAAAACACAGTGGATCGTGGATTAGCTGTAAATTATGGCGCGGATTCCGGATTGTTCCTGTCTTGATGTTCGGATCTTGGGTCCTAAACGAAATTTGGATCATAGATCTTTCTTCAACCTTAAATTCGGGTGTGAGACTGTTATTGGAATTGTAATATGTTATAGCCATCAAGTATGCTGCTTTCTTTACTATTTGTGCGAAATTTACAATGGCATTCACATTTACCAGTTTACTTTTGAACTTTTATACTTCTGTTTCCGGATGTGATTGTGGTTTGGGATTTGACCAAAAATATTGGCGGATCGACGGATTTGCATAGCCGTATTCACCCCCCTCCAAAATCGATGACGTCGCTATAATTAATTGATTTTCCTCAAACACTTCTCAAAAATGATCGGTGATTGTTGTGTTTTTAATGTCTCCGGCGTAGCGTGGACGGGCCTTACAGCGACCCCTGCTACGCGTTTTTGTTATTCAATCTCTCCCGTTTGTGAATTATGTCAGCAAATTCCATCTCGATGTCATTCAAAATCTTCTCTGTCTCTTGATCCGCATTTCTCCAATGCATATCCTCCAGAGAAATAATTCTCCCCGTCTTGTTACTTGTTTTGAGAAAAGGAACAAGAAACCAGTCCTTGCTTAAATCATAAAGTGACGTAATTCAGTTGAAACTTATCAATAAATAAGAGAGAGACGCCCGGATCCTTGAACGAGGTGTGACCAGCGAAATGATGGAATGCTTAGCCTAAATAGCGCTCCAGTTCTAAATATCATTGACTCGACAGTGGTTCACAGTAGCTCTTAATAACTGTAAGGGTTAACCGTTACAGACACCCGTATACCACATTCAGTTGACTCTCACCCGTAGTGCTTTTTCACTCTTTCGTGTTAAACACGCTGGTGACCAGCTACCACAATAACTTTTCCCTGGAGTCGTGGCACTCCTCTTTGGACAGCGAGGCCGTTAACGAGAGAAAACCACTCGCTTTGGTACCGTTAATCCAATTAAATTAATCAAAATTAAATTAATTTAGTTGCCTTTGACAAACATTTACCTGGGTAAACGATAACACTGACAGTGGAACAGGTGGCTTTGATATTGGTTGAATTTGTTTACATGTAGCATCGCCTTTGCCTTTTGATACCTTGGATAAAAGCGTCAAAGACGCGTTGACTTTGATCAGAATCAAAAACAGTATTTATCACTTTGATCAAAGGATAAGCGTGTCCCCACGACGATGTTTCGCTCAGTTATATTATTTTACTATGCGTGTCTTGATCAGAAACGATTAATTTCAATTCAATCAATCAGATACTCAAAAATGTAGGATGAAGGGCAAACATTCCAATAGCAAAGCGGCTCCTTTAAATTACTTTGTGATTATTTCTGGTCCTTTCCTGCCATGAAAAAGTGTTCAAAACGAAACGAAAGGGCAAAATGGGATGCGGGAGGTTTCTGCGCGGAAAAAGGAGGGCGTTTTTTAAACTTACCCATTACAAGATCAAGTGTCTGTGGCATCCGGTGACACTTTTATCAGGTGCACTTTGCATTTTTAACCACAGCAATTACTGCAATGTGGATTTAAGGAACGCGAGACCGTCCTGGAGAACGGGGAATTCTTCTGCAGTTTACAGTTATTGAAAATCCGGCAATCTTGGGCCAAAGAATCCTTTGGTTGGCTTTGGTGACCATGGGTGGTCCGGACGAAGCGCAGATTTCAGTTTAATGAGGGTTAACTGACGAGAGATTTATTAAGAGGCAGGTAAGTAAAGTGTGGGGTTGTTTAAGGTTTGTTGCTGCGGAGCGAGCAGAGCGAGCGAGCAGCAACATAATCAGGATTTAAGAAGAATGCATAGAAGGGGTTACGAATTCTTAAATTCATCACTTTTTACCAGAATGCATTGCATTTAACCAGAGTGCACTGCGCCAATTTTTACCAGAGTGCATTACGCCACGAACAATATAAGGATGTCACACCGTCGAGCCGCCGTCCTTTTTCACATGGATTCCAGTGAGAAAGTTTTCTCTGATTTCCCTGTAAAGCGATGTGAAGGACATCGTGCTTGACTTTTACAACTCTTCACTCAGCTTTTGTTCCTAATGCAGTATGTGAAAGTTTGTAAATCTGGACGATTAATTGTGACATCTTAATCTTAAACTTAGTCGATCTCATTTCTTAGCAGTCTCGCCTCCTTGGTCGAATTCTTAAACGAAGAGAAATCGTCGTTACTAAAGCTTGTAGAATGATTAAAACAAGCAAAAACCGTAGAACACGCTAATTTCATATATGCTGCGATCTAATCCTTTTCATCCAAACATGAATTTAAGCTAAAGCTTGAGCATTTTCACCCATCGCAATGGACACGTCCTCGACACAGTCTATCAACATTCTAGAGATATTTAATGCGTACCGGTACAAAATTTATAAGGTAGATTTCTGCTCCAACAATTTCCACATCTTTCGATTTTCGCGATCTGGTAAAGGGGAAGTTGATGTGTATCGTTTTATGTTCAAACGTAGTTCAGATCACTATGTGGTTTTTAATCTCGATCCCTTGTCACACCTCGCTATCAATACGTCATAATGCATGAAGTTGATGCATACAAGGACAGATTTTAAGTTACACACCACGATTTGACACTACTTTAAGAAATAAAGGCTAATGTAAGTCTTGGAACGCGCAGATAGATGAATCACTGCGTTAAATATGTCACTATCAACAGAATGTGCCGCAGCATTACTATCTTTTAGATACCCTAGTTATAGTAATACGGCGCTGATAGTTGACACTTCACCTTAGCGCTTGCAGACACTAATCTAAAAGCAACGAGAGTTCCCACGTAAATCCTTGTGTTCTTCCGAAAGAGATATGCTTGGTAATTCTAACAAGTAAACGGTCTACAAATTGAAAACTGGAAAGGAATTACAGGACTGTACATGCAAGTTTCAGTCTGATTTATTTTCCCAGAGGGGAGAGTTATAATGAAAGAGGAAAGATTATAAAAGTTATGAAATTGTTTGTATGACAACTTGGCAAGTATTCATGTACTTTTTGCTACTACCAGCTTGCTTTTTAGCGACACTCTTAATATCAATTGTCCGTATGAAGCGGGTATCCGAAAACCGGGGTTTTTCTGCAAATTATTCCAATGGATAAATAACTTTGCAGCGGTCAAAATAAATTCTAACTTGTCTTGTAAGCAGCAGGCTGCTATGAATTACGAGCATTAAAAAAGTTCAGCGCTTTTATTCGTGTTATGTAAGTTATTCCAGGTAACACCTATTGTGCAAAACTTGTATATTAACTTGTACATTCAAATTTACTCTAGTTGGAACTGACGATAACAGACGTTATTGTCGAAACATGTATTTAAAACTGAAAAGCGTTGTACCCTTTTTACGATTCCGCTAAATTGCATTAAAAAACTTTGCCACGGATTTTGGCCAAATTTGAGTCATAAGAATAAGGCCACCAAATTGAGTGAAATATGAAAACGATAACTTCTTAAAACAGCGAGGGAACATTTCAATATAAGATCTCGTCGACCACACTATACCAGAGATATTTGAAAACGGAGGTTTCACTCCGAAAACGCGTCAAATGTTTTCTGTCCACACTACAGTCAAACCTCTCAGAAAATAGCCAGGTAACTGCTTCATACGGTAAGGCTTACCAACCACACTAATCCGTTACGAAAACGGAGCTTTTCGTAAACGCTCTTCAAACCGGAGGAATTTCAGAACGCTGGCTGTTCGTTTTCGTGTGGACGAAAAACGTTTTGAAAACGATGACGCCACGATAATCATGTGATTTCCCTGCCTGAGTTTTTTCAAACGCAAATTCAAACTGACCGGTGATTGTTGCGTTTTTAGATTCCTCCGGCGTAGTGTGGACGGAAAACGTTTGATACTTTTTCAGAGTAAAACCTCCGTTTTCAAATTCTTCCAGAGTAGTGTGAACGGGGCCTAAGGAGTCCCGGCACTCGCCAACAGATTTTATCATGATGTTGTTTTGCAAGATAGTTTTGGAATCTCAGTTAACATGAGGTGAAAAAATCAGTTATGCCGGGTCGTCTGTTATTTTGGAGTTGCGTAACTTAATCTGGTGAAGCATGTCACTCACTTTCTTCAGCGCCAGCGAGAGATAAATTTGTGCTCCGGTTGACCACCTAATGTACAGAAATGTAAAAAGGTGACGTGACCGTTTAACAGAAGTGAATTACAATAGAATTAGCCAATTGAAAAGTACAAACGGTGACCGCGTCCATTAGGCGTTCACCTCTATCATGATTAGTAACAGAGGTGAACGCTTAATGGAGGTCAAATAAACAGTAAATATGTGAAGCGAATTTCGGGAATTTGAATAGTGACCTCTTAATAGAGGGTGACCGCTTAATGAAAGTCACTTATATAGTAAACGATTTGAAGCGAATTTCGGGAATTTGAAGTGACCTCTTAATAGAAGGTGACTGCTTAATGGAAGTCAAATATATAGTAAACGATTTGAAGCGAATTTCGGAAATTTGAATAATGACCTCTTAATAGAGCTCCTCTTACACCTGTAATAGAGGTTTGACTGTGCGCCAGAGAAATTGGAAAACGCAACAATCACCGGTCATTTTGGATTTGTGTTTGAGGAAAACGCAGGCAGAGAAATCAAGTATCAAAGCAGGTACGGATTGACAAAAATTTAACTTAGATAATTAAAACGGAATGTAATATGGGTTTTTGTTAGGCTGAACAGTTTTCAAAGTTAATATCTTATTCATTTGTTTGTCACCTTTAATTGTAACGCCCGGTAGAAGTATTTGTTTGTAATGAAGCAATAAGACCCATAGAAATAATTTGTTCACAACACTGATAAGTTTCATATATAGCGAGTATCGATGACCAACTCAACTCGTGAAACAATTCCTTTCAAGCCTCAGACCCATAAAAGAAATTTAACTTGTTCAATTCTGTCTCCTGAATACGACGGCATCAGAGACACTGAAGAACACTTATTTGACCGTGTGCTCTAAAAGCTACTTTATAACCCTTTGTGGATCGTCTAAAACTAAATTTGTGTTATTGCCAACCAACTTGTTGTGCCGTTCCTTGTTGTGCCGCTATGACTTATTGAAATACGTATAGGTTATCGTCAGAGTTATCGTATGGATGCAAGTGTACCTAGTTACATTACGAGTGATGTTTGAAAGAATTCAGTTTCAAATATCACGAGTTGTGCAAATTCTTTGAAATTGCTCGAGCTTTCATAGGATTACATAGGATTTCATGGGATTTTTTGTATGACTTTGAAAATTACGAACGCGCCCGGTATTGATCAGTTTTCACTGTACTGCAAATTAAAAATCAACGACAAATTGGCCTGCTCTCAGCCAGTCACAATTAAGTGATTTTCTCAGTCTCGTAATTTAAAACAAAATAGAATACTACAAAGTCAGTTCTTTTGTTGTGCAGATCATGTCTGTCTCTAATTTAATGCTCTGTGGCTTGATCGTGTTTCTACCTGAGACCTTTGGAGTAACGGAGTGGGGTTTTGGGCGATATATAAAGTACGAACCTGGAAACATGAGCCTCATCTTAACCGCCCCTCATGGTGGAAATCGCAACCCATCACGACAGAGTACTGGTAAAATGTGGCCAGATAGAACCGATTACGGCTGTAAAGGAAAAGATGGTAAATGTATCTGGACACATAATTGTGGACCAACTAGTACGGACTGCAAGACTCGGAAATTAAGTGACTTGCACACTGTAAAAGTTACTCGAGACATTGCAGATAGAATTAAAGAAATCACAGGTGAGGAATTTGATTTTCGTTTCTCGAGGTCTTTTAATAATTAACTTAGAGATAAGCAGAACAATGAATAAGGTTGTTCTATCGGGTTTTACTTAGATTCGGATCAGTTATGCATTTTTAACTCAAGCTTATAATTTAATTCCATTTTACTTGAGTTCGACCTTCTACGAGCGTTACACGTTTTTCTTGGCTCAGATGTAAAATTTTTCTGTGACAGGCAAAAGTTCTATCGAAAAGAAAAAAAAAGAAAGGAATGGTTAAAAACAACAGATTTGGTACGCTTTCTACCACGGCAATGCCATCCCAAAAACTACAAAAAGCCACCGAATATTTTCACGATGTACTGACTCAGCTCAGCTAACTAGAGTTTGATACGAAACATTTTTCTAGTAAGCTTACATGACTGAAAAAAGCGGCAAAAAATGAAGCAATAATTCAAAAACGACTCATTTCCGTTCAGAAAGTGGAAATAGATTTTTGGGATAAAATTAAGCTTACGTACCAATTCAGTCAAGTTTTTTACCTCACATTTGAGTCTTGTCCTTTTATACTTCATTGAAGTTGATCGATGGTGACAGCTCCGTAAACAAGTAAAAACTTGTTTCAATTGACTTACACAAGGCGTACATGATGTCATTCAGCCACGCTGCTACTTTGAATCTTCCCGTAAACTTTTCTCCTTTGTCACAATATTTCGGAATATAGACGACTGTAGAGGACATTGTGCGAGGAATATTTCAGAAGCTTAAGAAAACTCTGTTTTGTTCGCTTCTCAAATGTTTCACTCTGACTGCAACTCAAAGAGTGAACGCCGCGCGACATTGCGCCACAAATTTTCCCGCCTTTTCATACCGATCACTTCGTGTTGATCATACTGAAATGTCCACATCATATTTTTAATCATTGCAGGTTTTCGACCACACGTTGTGTACAACCTGCTGCGAAGAAGCAAACTAGATGCCAACAGAGAGGTTAATGAAGCAACTTGCAATGTCTCAGATGCAATCAAGGCTTTTCAAGATTATAACAATTTCATCTGCAAGGCTCGGTCCGCTATTTCTGACCGTGGTTTGCTATTAGACATCCACGGTAGCGCAGATCAGAAACAAAGAACGGAGCTGGGCTATCTTATTCACAGCAAGCACCTTGACAGTGAAAGCTACAGTAAAGATGTAACGTCTATCAGAAGTCTTGGTAGACATTGGTGTGGAGATGACAATAATTGTTTTAAAAATTTCATCTGTGGCAACAGGAGTCTCGGTCATTTCATGAATCTGGAAGGGTTACATGCAGTACCCTCTCCAGAAAACAAGAAAGTAAAACTGGATGTGGTTCACTATTTCTCGGGAGGATTCACTGTAGCGAAATATGGATCAAGAGATGGAGGGGATATTGATGGAATCCAGATGGAATTTTCCAGAGAAATTCGCTCAAGATGGGGAGAAAATACAAGAAATAAGATAGTTAATGCCATTTTATGTTTTCACCGGCTTAACTATACATAACAACAAAGTAACGAAGTTGTATTTTACCAAGCCTAAAAGTTTGCTTCGCGGAGTGCAAAAATCAGAGAGCGTGGGGTTTGGTGACGAGGCTGAAATAGGCAAAGCATTTTCATTCATGTTTATGCCGCGAAATTCCGGATTGTGTAAGTTAAATAAATCTATTAATGAATTCTAATTGTGCAATAAAACAAGGAATTATCACGTGCAATGTCTTCTCATTCGAGTTATCCACTTGCCCTGATTCGGAGCATTTCAAAACAGATACGCAAGCCGCTAAGCCTGATCGAATTTTCGACCCTCCCGCCTCCCCGTCAGCGACGTGACAAAGCTATAGTGCTGTCTCACCGAGTCGCTCATTGCCTCGGTCACAATCCTTCCCCATAACTTAACTACGTGAGACAATGAGCGGCATAATTTATGAATGAATGTTATACCATTCTGCAAACTTAACATACCCACAACTCCACGTGTACCGCGCTCCAACGGAGTGGGAGGCTTGGGAACGATGTAAATTGGGGGGTTGGATTCTGGAATGAGCACAAATAAAGGTTGTTGTCGTCGGAACGATGAGGCTGATGTCTTTTACAAAACTCGAGTTGTATTTCTTTATTTTTTTCGTTAGCTAGGGTAAAAGTTTAACTACAGTTCAATTTTAATATACGAACGTTTGGCGAAGACACCTGAAAATGCTTTGAGTAAGTTTTTTTATTATTATTATTATTAACAAATCTCCCTGCTTGGGTTACTTACGACTGATCATTCAGCTTCAGTTGTCAGTTTCAAGTATGCAACGCGGCCAAGTCCCGTTCATATGGACACCGTAGAAACCACAGAAAGTTCTGTCTATATTAGAAAAGTCAGTTGATTTCAAAAAAAGTGTATCAGCTGGGAAAAAAATCTTCGTAAATAGTAACAAAATGGTCATATCGCTAAAGCGGGATTTGAACCTACTTTACCTAACGCAGCGCCAATATGCAATACTGAAATTGTACGAGAAAATGCATTTGATGAATTTCATTTGCTGAAAAGGAAATTCTCCAATGTACAAAGAGAATTTGAAAAGGTAAGCTCTGAAGCCTGTGTTTAGACTTTAACCTCGTTCCCAGTGGCCTCTCCCTCACGTGGGGAGCGGCGCCACGTGAGGAAAAGGGCCCGAGAACGAGGTTGGCTAACCTTGATTCGTGCCGCTCATGTCAACTCCTTTAAATTTTCCTAAGTAGTCTTGGTAATGGCTTCTTTTAATTTGATGTTTCCCCCAGACGCTATTTGTGGTACAGAAAGTTCTTTCGCTCCCACAATCAAACCTTTGAAGTCCGTGGATGAAACCCTAGTGTGGCCATTCATTTCAAAGCTATTGAGCAGTACTTTCATGTGGTACTGTTTATTACTCTGTACAAGGTGGTGCTAAATTTAAATCTGCGGATGAAACCTTGGTGAGTGACCATTCAAATGAAAGCTATTGAGCAGTACATTTGTGTGGCACTTTGTGTTTTTTAAAGTTCTGCAAGAAGAAATTATTTGACATTGTTTTTCTTAATTTTGAACTCGACAATCTTGGATATGAAAAAGATTAAATAAAAAAGTAATCTTTATTGCAATCAGTCACGCTACACGAAACTGTGTCTCATAAAGCCACTGAAAATCCTATGACCACTTCTTTTCTCACTGCCAAGCCTGTCGGAGCATTTTTATTGAAGCGAGTCTCTGAGAGACGATTGTAACAAGCACTAGTATTCCGAGAGTACCAAAGATGAACCAGTAATCAAAGTCTTCCTTCAGCACATCAAACATTCGTGAAGGTGTTATTCTCGTCCAGTACAGGTCCAGTCCATACGCAAACACCAAACATGTGGATTCCAGACCTGATCCGGCTGTGTAGACACCGTGGAGGTTGGCAACTAGAGTCGAAAAGAAGCATAAATTAGTTAAACAGGAGCTCTTGTCAAACCAATTATCTGTGTGACGACTGGGACTTCATCTGCTCGCACTGAGGGCTTTATGTTAACACAAAATACATTTTGAATTCTTTATGCTGCATCAAACGAAAAGAGATTTCAAATTCACGCGCTTTTCCGACCACCAACCTTAATGAACGCTGTCATAACAAATTTGATCCTACTCAATTTTAATGAGTCAACCTTTCGCACGTTTGACAGGCATCTTCGATTGTACACATTCGTCCAATTCTAATCTAACGTTAAGTGCAGACTTTACAATGAATGAAATGTGGCATTACCACTACCAAAAGCTCTTTTATATCGAGTTTTGAAATCTTTTGCCTGACAATCATGTTAAACGTTGTATGGCCGGTTCAAAACCAAGACCAATCAATATGGGGAGGCAGCGAAGTCAAGTTAGCCAACCTCGCACCAAGTAGTTGGGTTTAGATTAGCCGATAAGTTTCTAAGACAACCACAAAAGTTACAAAATTTCGAAAGGTGTGCTACGCTTTCAAGCACATGGCATAGGCTCGATTTCCGTCAGAGGATCGCGGGCTCGTTTCAGGCGATAATCCTCCATAGAAAAGAAGCTGACGGCTGTACATTTCCATGCGAACCTTACACAGACCATAAAGTACAAGGAAAGCCATATTTTTGCAATATTTGTCTCCGTGCTAACGACAGTGTTTACTACGTTTAAAATTTTAGAACTTTTCTGTACGTATTTAAACGTGTCGTTAAAGTTTTAGTGCGCTAACAATTACGGGTCCAGTCGCCATCTTTTTCCTACGGAGGACCGAGCCTGCGCATGGCAGAGACAACCAAAGTTACTGACCAGTTTGATTGTAGTTGATAAACGCCAAAGGATTCAAGCTGAGCTCTGGAATATAAGGATGCAGCCCTTCTTCACGGTCCTGTTGGTTGGGCAAAAACTTCCTCCGTGGATCCAAGTAGTTTTTGGGAAGGCTCAAGATGTAGCCAGTTTGCAGTCCAAGCAAGAGATTCTTATGAGTTATCCCTCGCTCTGTTATCGTTACAGTCGCGGTGCGTATTGTTGTTGGGAATATGTACGACTGCTGAAGTACTATCGGGATAGGGGGAGGGTCGAATGAGGACAAAGCAGTACTGAAAATAAATTAATATTCCAGTTTATTGATTAATCGATTTAGTTAGTACACTAGCCTACTAACTACGGACGGGGGGGAGGGCAGAGGGTGATTTCCCAAGGGGAGGTCATAGAGGATGTTTCAAAAGTTTGCGTCCTTTTTCTACAAGCGTATATCTCACTCAGTTTTCACATCAGGTAAGCCATTTTCAAAGACGCCAACTTTTAGTGACCTTTAAATTGTAAAAAACAGCTGAGCAATTTATTATTTAATTTAGTGAATGCGACAGCATTTTAAGGCACAATGATGCCAATAGCTTTGAAAAAGTATACAAACTCCTCAGTCAATAATTCGAGGGCGCTCGAAAGTTTCTTCTCGTGTCAGGAATATTACGTTCATTAGTGTTGCTCAGCAAGCTGCAGTTTAAAGGAGCTCAGTCGCGGCATTTTGAGTTATTTTGGCCACGTACAAAATTACATTTAAGTTGACGGACACCTGAAAATAGTAGTTCACTAAGATAGAAGAACATTAAAGAGATAATAATAAACCATAAAGGAACAAAGATGGTTAAGGATGGAGAAGATTAACACGGATTACAAACGACGAAGTTCAAAACTTTAGGCTAAATTTTTTAAGATGCGCAAACCGTCACGTAGCTCCTTTAAGTAATCCCAAGTAGGATACGATAAATGGCTTTTCAGGCCTTCATTCACGAGGTTGAACACATCAGAAAACGTTAACTATGAAGATGAAAGCATTTTCCTGATGCTCAATGACAGAGAACCATCAAAACGCATGGGTACATTGTTATTTCAAGATTTGTCTTTCGATCGATCGAAGTAGTTACTACAGGTTACAAACACGGGTGTACTGTTCTGGCCTCGCTCCGGGTGTTGGTAGTTACCATTCCGCCCGAGCGATCCGCCATTATGAAAGTCGTGTTATTTCCTGTTCTTGCTTCCATGATGCTCATGGGATACATAATTTAGTGGGATACCGCTTACTCAGATTACCGTGGACATTGAATAAGCCAATAGACTGTTTTTGATATATCAAAATTCAGCTTGGCAGCGAGGCTTAGATGACACAAACAAAGGAAATTGAATTGAATCGAAGGTTCGAGCCCCAGACCGGACCAACACTCAGGGTCTTAAAATAATTGAGGAGAATGTGCTGCCTTTGTAATTACATCTACAAATGGTTAGACATTCAAGTCTTCTCGGATAAGGACGATAAACCGTAGGCCCCGTCTAACAGCACTTCACTGATCTGGTTCTTGTGGGACGTTAAAGAACGCATGACACTGTTCGAAAAGAGTAGGGGACGTAGAACTCGGTGTCATGGTCTATCTGACTTGTGCCGGTCATTGGTCTGGGGTGGGTAAGGTGAGATCATACATGGACTGAAGTGGCTGCAAAGTGCGCCTTCATATGCTGACGTCCGATCTCACCTCTCTGGTTCAGCCTCTGGCTGGAAGGGAGGAAATTGGCACCAACTGTCTATCTATCCATCTATCTCATTTCTTTTGTTTGTGTCCTCTAGGCCTCACTATCAAGCTGGATTTTAATATGTCGAAAGTGACCTATTTCGATGAATTAAAATTCTACGACTTGGTTCGACGCTTAACGGAATAAAACAAAAGAAATCACATCGAGGTTGAGGAATGAATTTTGTTTTATTCCCCTCGGCCTCGGAGACAACTTGAAGTCAGAATTTAATATATCGAAATTAGGCTATTGAGCCAAACGGCTCCAAATGCCAAGAAACTTCAGAGAAACGCCAATAGCATTAACAAACGTCTTAACATTTCAAAATTGTCGTATTCTCTTTAATAAAGATCTTAAATGTTTTGAAATACCTAGAAAGTTTCTAAACTGTATTGCAAGAAAAATAACAGAGCGTCTAAACATTCCAAAACTGTCATATATTTTTAATAAAACATAGAATAGACCATTTTACAGTTGTCTGCTCAGTGACCTGGCCTTTGGATGGCAGCGAGGCTGGAGTTGACCTTGTTTTGATACAGACCTCACTGCTTTTGTTGCGTAAAACAAGTTGTTCTGATCCTAACTAGGTGCATTTACATGTAAAATGGTCCATTGTTCTAAATACGCAGAAAGTTTGTAAATATTGCAAGAAAAAAACCGTCCAAAACTGTCCAAAACTGTCTTTTATCTAAATAAAAATCTAGAATTGTTCTAACTCTCCAGGAAGTTTCTAAACATCACCGGAGAAAAAAATGGTAAAACGCCTAAACATCCCAAAACTGTCAAATTTTTAATAAAAATCTAGAATTTTTAAATATCCAGGAAGTTTCCAAATATCGCAAAAAAATCGTGATAACATTGCAAAACTGTCGCTTTTTTAAAATAAAAATCTAGAATTATTCTAAATATCCAGGAAGTTCACAGATTTTGCAAAAAAAAACATTCCAGACATTTATTTTATTTGTATTCTGTACGTTTTGGAATCTGCTCATTTATAGGTTGGTGTATTAAACAGTCGTCTTGTAAGGATTATTTCCCTCGGTAGCGGTAAAATAGCACAGAATACCTCTTTGGTACATTTGTTCTTACTTCGAGGTCCTCTAAGCGAAAGAGCTGTGGCCGAAGCTTACGACAATAGTGTCGCAAAGCATAACGCTATATTTTAAACATTCACTGTACCACTTGGAGGTTAATAAGTTCCCTTTGTGGTGCAACCCTTCCACTGTAGCAAGAAGGCTTACAATTCACACACCCAAAAATCTCCCGAAGTGCGCTGGAGAATCGCGAACTGGACACAAAAAGAATTATAGGATTCACTGCTGTGCTTAAAGATGGAAAAACGTAGAAAAACAAACCTACATGGAGCCGAAGCTTACGTAAATCGTTGGTGAAAAACGATGGGAAGGCCATTCTAAAAACTAAATACACACACAGTGGTGTCCAACAGAGGAAAAAAGCAGTTACTATAGAGATGAACACTTTCATTACAGTCTTGTTCTGTTGCCTATTACGCGCGCTGATGTTTTCTTGATAAGTTTCATCCACTGGTCCTACTTGTGTCATAGATTTCATAATTCTACGGTAAAGTACAATTATCACGATAAACGGCACACAGTAAAATATTAAAAATCCTATAGTGTAGAATATAGAGAGTTCCAGTCTGGCCCAGGAAAACCTACAAAACGTTTGAGGCCCGTCTTGGACGATTTTAGCAAACCACACGTACGGAAAACCACCTGAAAGCGGGAAAATCCACGTGATTAACAACAAACCCGCCCGGAGACGGGTTGTTAGCATTGTAGCGTGGAAGGGATGTACAATAGCTACGAATCTCTCCACCACGATCAAAACAAGGCTAAGAACTGAAACCGCTTGTGAAACAGCTCTGGAATACATTCCCATCTTGCAAACGAACGTAGCCATGGAACCTTCGATGGAACTTTTTCCTGAGAGCATTCCTTCTGTGGCGTACAGAGGCCAGTTGGTCAAAGCAGAGAGCAGATCAGAAACAGCCATGTTCACGATGAAATAGTTTGTACTGGTTCTAAGAGAGGCTTTCATCAGAACAGCCAATGTAACCAGAACATTGCCGACAATGGCTAAAATACTAACCAAGGAAATTACTACTGTGATTGTCTTTGACGCGATAGGACAATGTGTTGATTGATCCTCAAAGTTGCCGATGCTGGAGTTGTTCATGTTTCCTTGTTGGAAGATTTTCTTTCCTTTAACTTCACGGACAACACTTTGAGAAGACTCGAGCTTCCTATTCATTTACCGGAAGTTTAAATGCATGTACACCTGCCGGTCAGATTAGATTTCTTATTAAAGCGACTTGAAAACGTAAACTTGAGATTGCTTAGCCGCAATATACAAAACTTAGCCTATACAAATTTCTGTATTATACTAGCTCGTTAGTAACACTCGATAACGAGCCTACCCCTCTTAAGAAACAGGTAAAAATGATAAATGTCATTGTTCTTTAATAACGTAATTCAGCTTTTGAAAATTTTAACTTACTCCTAAATCGGAATCGAACTAACTGATTTTAAGTTAACCGACTTTGAGTAGGTTTCTAGAAATGAGTTCTAATTTACTTGAATGTAAATCCTTAATTTAATAGGAAAACCTATTTGGGGTTTTCTGAGCTTCATGCATGTAACGAGACATCCAAACTGGACCATTTTTAAGTAAAATAAACATTTATTCACTTGCCTCTTGTTTTGTGGCAGAGAAGAGAAACTATTGCATTTTTAAGGCGTGACAATGTAAATTGACGAAATTGATGAAGATTCACTTTCCAAAATAACCATGACAATAAGTGATTTGAATCTTAATTCATGACAAGCTGTGCTTTCTGTAAACAGAATGTGCATCGGAGTCTATCTCAATGCAAATTTTAAAGGCCTTAAAGTAATTACATGTATTTTATAAATATAATTATCAATTCCACTTCGTTTTTAAAACGAACATTCAAGTTTACGCGCAGAAACGTTTTAGTTTCTTTTTTTTTTTTCTTTAGGAGTATTTTAAGACCGGAAAATTATCTTGAATCGCCGATGCGTCCATAGTCTTCCATCCTATGTGTTTACTTTACTCAAAACCTTTTAATGTAGAATTGACTTAACAAGCAAATTAAATATCATATATTAATTACTGGAAAAGGGCTGGTCGATTTCTCTATTATAATTGCTACAGAAAACCTACAACCACAATAATCTTCACAAAACCTAAACAACTGGGACAAAACAGTGAAATACATTTCATGTTTGTTTCGCTGGAAGATCCTCATAGTCAAATCTTTTAGGCAGAAGTCAGTGTTCCAAAAACATAAATAATGCATGTTTGGTTAATAAACAGGTGAAATTGTTTACATATCCCAGGCTTTTGCTAAAGTAAACACATTAAAGATAATACAAGTTTCAGTTACGTTTCATGTGGTCAGTTTAAATTTTTTCCGCCTTTTCGCCCTTTTCTTTATATTATGATGAACAAATTCAGCAGAAAATACTGTTCTTTCCTTTGCTCTGAACTTGTGAAGTCTCCATTAAAATGAGAGCCTTCTTACTGTCTCTACTGTACACGTGTTTCGAGAAGTATAACTAGTCATACTAATTTTGACCTCATTAATACACGCAAAGTGAATAACGAAGCCAAGGAAAACACGCAAAAGAGTTCGATGGCCATTACCAAAATAACACGCACCTGCAGGGAATCATGGTAGTTGTATTCATCAAAACAAATTTCCAGTCCAAGACGATGAATACAACTACCATGATTCCCTGCAGGCGCGTCTCATAGAGGGAATGGGCCATTACGAAAACAAGCGACGATCTTTGGTCTTCTAAAGTCCCGTCCACACTAACCCGGTTTTAAAAGAGAGCGTGTACACATGGCCACAAACATAAATCACGATCTCGTTCCCAGGGTCTTTCGTCTTCCCGGCCTCTAGTAGGGCGGAAAGATGAGAGACCCTGGGAAAGAGGTTGAGCAAATCCCTCTTGTTCCACATTGTTGTTATCAATTAGTTTTAACTGTCCTTAGCTTCGTTTTTGTTCGACACATATTTTTGGATGCCATGGGAAACACTCTCCGATTTGGATGCCATGTACTTTATTTTCACTTTTTTTTCCTGTTTTTGTATATTTGAGCGTTTTACCTCGCTTTTTCATGTATATTTTGAACCTACCATAAATTGTGATAAATAAAAAGACAATGTTGCGTTTTCAAGAGTCTTCACGTTTAGACGCGTTTTCGAAGATCCCCTTTTCCGATGATAACAATTCGAGTTTTCACTCGTTCGATGTGGACGGAAATACATTGAGATGGATAGAATAGCCTTCCAGTCGAGCTCTGAACGGAAACCACGACGTTAAAAACCCGAGCTAACCCGAGCTGACCCGAGCAAAGAGCGCGGAAAAGAGGAGACCGAGGGCGCATCGAGAAGTTCATGGGGTGGATGGTCCCTGAATGACAACAGAGCATTTCTCAAATTCGTTGTTTGTAATCCGTGTCAATCTTCTCCATCCTTCACCATCCTTGTTCCTTTATGGTTTGCTGTCATCTCTTTGGTGTTTTTCTATCTTATTAAACTACTATTTTCAGGTTTCCTTCAATTTAAAGGTAATTTTCTAACTCAAAATTACGTGACTTAGCTCCTTTAATGTGTTTGTTACTGAAAGCCAGTAAGCTTCAGTGTACTTGTCAAACAACTCAAAACTTACCTGTTTCTCTCTGTGTATCCATCGTACATCTCCAACACCGTGAGCTCATATCGGCGGGATTTAGTGTTGTACAGACAGTAGACCAGCCAGTTTTCAGCGTGCACCATGTGAATAGGACCTTTCGCATTCTTGTGACGAGCGTGGAAAATGATCAACCCTGAGAAAATTCAGACATGTGTCTAACACAACTTCTGAATGACAAGCAGCTCAGGACTTGCTGTTTACAAAACAGAGCATTTTTGCTGTTTTATCGTATTTGTGGAACGCACTGTGACCTTATGATTGAAGTCTAGGGCTCCAGAGGAGGAGGACCGCCTTATATAAAAATCAAGGATGATCATCATCTTGCTGAGGGGTGTAAATCTAGGATTTTGGTCCCATTTGGAGTGTCCTGGACGAAATGCCACTACTTCAAGCCGGCAAGGTATCTTTTAGGGTGCACCCATTTCCGTGTTGAGTGGTATCTTTTAGGGGTCAAACCATTCCCCAGATTGGTCTCCTTTAGGGTTTAATTTTAATTTTCTGATGAGCTCCCCTGACCTTTTCACATGAGAGTTTGTGCACAACTATACAACTGTAGCTCCAAATTACTTCACACTACAGACGCTGTACCGTGAAATTAAGCCTATTAAGCATTAACATTGATGGATGACAAGATTATCAAATGACTTCACCATTTTTCTGCTTTTACTGATACTTGCTAGACAAACTAATCTGTTTCTGTTGTCAATGTCTCTCTTAAATTTTGCGCCTTTCAACTGACAATCTTAAAGGAAAAAAGAAACTGTTGGTTATAACATTTATACCTGTTACAGCATCAATAAGATAAATGGAGATTCCAGGCTTGGTGTCTGGCGTAACCTCAGTGCCCACTGCTATAAGATTTGGGTTCAAATATTTGTAAAGCACTCTCCTATCTCCAAGAACTTTTCCTTGAGAATGAACATGTTCCAAAGGACTCTTGGTTGCTAAAATACAACAACATTAAAAATTAATGATATGTTGGAACGCTACAAAGTATAAACAAGATCTGCAAGCACTTACCAATATTAGTGATAGTTTGTTGAGACTCAGGAAAGTTCACATTCCACATTTCTCTGACATGAAAGACACTTTTTTCCACATCGGACAAAAGCATGTATCCTTTCAAGTCAGCCTTCTCTTTGTCAGCCATGAAGAAGAAGATGGATGAGGACGCTTTAGACACAATTTCAATGGATTCAGAAGTGCGAGGAAAAACATGAACATTCAGAGAGGAGTCCAGGAGAAGGAGAAGTTTGGTGTGTTTAGCATCTGAAGAGAAAACAAGGAAAGAAAATTCTTAACTGACTTGGTGGAAGAAGTTCCCTTTGCACAAATATTTTGGGGAAATTTACCCTTGATTTTGCAAACCTCCTGAGTTTTTTAACCCATTTCTATTGCCCTGGGTTGTGTAAAAAATTGGGATTCCTATCACTTTTTGAACAACAACTTACAATGTTTCCTTTCAAACATTTACCCAATAAAAGTCCTAACAAATAAACAATTAAGGACATACCAGTATGTGGCAAAAGCATGGATTGCACAACTCTGTATGACAACTGATTTCCTTTAAGGTAGCCTGGTCCAATTGGCTTCCCAGTGATTGGGTTGAAAACATGTAAAAGGGATCCATCAGATGCCCTTGACTTCCCAAGCACTACACACTGGGCAGTTAAAGGAAAGTGGGCAACAGTTCGTTGAGTGTAGAGTAAGGAATACTGTTTGCTGTTTTGAGAGAAAGGGGCAAGGTTTGGTAGAAAGTACTTCCAAACGATGCTTCCGTCAGCAGAATTGAGCCCAAAGAGTTTTCCAGATGATGTTACAATCAGAATTAATTTTCGCAGATTGAACTGATCTCTGGTTAGTTGCTCTTCTTCTTCATCTGTTGTTTCAGCAAAGAAGCCATGTTCTTGCTGTGCTTTGACAAAGGCTTGGAATTGCTTCACAAGCACTTGGAACTGCTTCACTTGGGCACGGATGCGACGGATAAACATGGACAAGACATCATCTACAAAATACAATTCTGTAGGTTAACAAAATGTGAACAACTACATTGACAAACTGAACCAGTACCCAGCAAGTTAGTTCCAAGATCAAAAATCTAATTTGTCTTTCTGACTTTCATATATTTCATACTACAGTTGTATTCTTCATAGAAGAATTTTGCTAAAAACAAGCATGTTATCCAGAGATGATCAGGTGATACCCTTGACATTCAAATGTTACCAGGAACCTCAGGTAACTGGGTTAATCTAGCAGCCTATATTTTCTAAACAACATCATTAAGAGGAGGAGCCTCCCACCTTTATAGGTGAAAGCCAAAGGGCAAAAACAAAAACTTGAACTGGGCAGATTTTTAACCTGGGTCCCCACCACCTTACTTCCAGCCACAACCGTGCACATGTTAGCAAGTCTGGATCTGACAATGGAAGTTTCATATCTTTGTTTTAGCTACATAAAAATGATTAAAACATTCACTATTATGGTTAGCAGATTAGTTAAAATATCACGCCCCAACAGTGATATTCTTGTGATGCGTAATTAGCTGATTTTACTTTCCGTGAAACGTGAATTTAAGAAATTATTCTCCATGATCTGTGACCTGAAGGTTTTGCCTGACCCGGGAATAAATTGAATCATTAACCGATAGTATACTGGTAAATTTCACCACTCATTCCTACATGATTTTGAGAAGTGAATCTTCCGAATGGTTAGAGTCATCTATCGAGAGTGATTTAGGTATACAATTTGCAATATCGAGTCTTTACTTAGCCTTTCACCCCTTTGCTCTCTTCAAACACTCTTTCTAGTGTAAGAGCAGGTTATTAAAAAGAGTACTTTACTTGCTTATTTTCATGATTCTGCAAAATGAAATTTTGGTTCCATGATCTGTGATTCGCTATTTTTTTTCATTCACGACCCACGCCAGACAGAGATCCCCTGTACGACTCTCCTAACCGTACTACCCTACCATTTGGATGAGCACCAAACTCCTCCTGAAGAGTCTCAAAATTTGCCTGTGAAGGTGAAAATGGCAGCTCAACCACCTCTACAGCTGTGACTTCAGCAAGAGCTTCTTCCCGAGACCACATGACACGTCCAGGAAACTGTACCAATGACACTGAATGATCTGTGGTAGCCAGGAATACTCTATATCCAAGTTCATTTTCTTTCTTATTAAACAAATAAACAACAGCATCTTCTGGTTCTCCGTGATCTACTAAGACTACCTTTTGCGTCATGTCTGAAAGGTCTTTTTTGTTGTCTAAGTCATAACATTTAAGCTCTAAGGATTCATCAGTGATTGGTGTAATTGAAACCAATATAGCCTTGTTGCCAAGTACAGCTGCTCTAAGTAGAGACTGCTCCGTAAATTTGGTCAGGACTGTAATGCTATGATCGTTGTTTAAGTTCAAGATAAGCTGATGAGTATTGGAGAGTTTTAACAGGAACTCCGATCGTTCATCCCAGGAATTTGAATAAGAACCAAATGAGTGTAAGGTAGGTTTGCCAAGAGAGAGTTCTTCGACTCCTAGCCCTAAAGAAGGTAACGATATTGTTTTCACTGGTGCTGATTCATCAGTAAGGGAAATAACGTGAATGCTATTGCTGAATGTTTCTGCGCAAACCAAACTTGACTTCTTGACAAAGACGCAACTAGCACCACTGTTGACCCACGGTGCTCCAACGCGTCTTTCTCCTTTCATTTGCCCATTCTCTACATTTAGCTTCTGAATAACAATGTCTACATCATTTTGGGTTCCTACAACATATAAAATTCCACTGGAATGTTGAAAGCTGAAATAATCAGCTGTCTGTTCACTGTTATCAACTGACCATTTTTCTGAGCCATCTTGAAGTCCAAATGCTTTGATGATATTAAAAGCCAGAGAAACCACAAGTTCGTTTTCTTTGGCCTCCACCAACGCTGTCTGTGGTCCATTCCATCCGTGGAAAGGTGAATTTGTAATCTTTTTGCTTGGCGAAGAAGCAGAATTGCCAATTGCCTCCCACAGAAGTGCTCCATTACCAGTATCCCAAGATCGAATGAATTTTCCGGCGCTTGAAGAGCTTAAAAGAACGTTTTCACGATAAAGCAATGTATCTAGAACCTCTTCGCTCTCTTCCAAAACTTGACGCCAAAGAATACCACCAGTTCTCGAATTTAGGGCAGCAATCACGTTCGATTCCGTGCCAACAAACAAACGTTTGCTGCTATGCGTAGAAACATCGAAAAATGAAAATTTTACTTTCCCGATGTAGCTCTGACGCCAGTCGAAGAGCCCAACTTGATCTGCGTACAATCCTAGGCAGTGCCTCAAGTTTATCAAGGAAAGAAAAACGCACATGTAACCCTTAATCACCGCCATATTGGAAGCACCTGCAAAAAGCGAGGCTGCTCAGGAGGCCTGGCTGATCGGCAAAATTTTGCCTGGCTGCTAAGTACTTGCGGCGAGGTTACAAAGGGAGAAGTCAAAATGGCGCGTGGTTTGAAGTTTGTACAGATGTAGTAGGATCGGATTTATTTGCCGATTATAGCCGTTCAAAAGATAAAAATTTAGCTATAGAATAACATGGTGCCATCTGATTTGTCCGAACCTCCGCGCTCGGAAGCTTCTAAAGTGAGGTGGTTCACAGAAGGGGTAAGTATTACCTTCGAATGCACAGTCACACTCGATCAGAAGCTGTACATTTTAATTTATTCTCACGAGGTTTTTCGATCTGCTGGAGTTTGATCGCAAAGCCTTCTTTAAAACCCTTAAACATATGATAATAATTTATTGGATTTGCAACATATTGATTGCGCGAAACTTTGAAGATGATCTATTCTTTGCGCAGATCACTGTGCTTCCTTGTCAAATTACTGTTTAAGATTTAGTCGTTGCCAGTTATAAATGACAATAATCTATGCGATGATGTTCTTTATTCTCATCACCTGTCTGCTTGACAATGTATTGAATCTGTAAGGAGAAACTGGATGTTGGTCACTCTTGCAAATTTCCACTTTATATTAAATTGTGTCTTGGCTGTGCACGTGGTCAAACTTTTAACAGAGGCTTCCATCAATGGCAACTTAAGGAGAGAGTTTTTTCAGACTACAAGTCAGCTTAAGTATGCACAGCTGCAGTAAAAATAGTTTTAATGTTAATGCAGGATTATTTCTCAATCATCTTTAGGAAACTCGGTGGAGGACTGGTGCTGCTATTGCCTGGGTGATGATAATTCTTCCATGTACATTGTTAATATCTTCAGCAGCAGCCTCTATAGATCTCTTTCATCCTGTTAACTGGATCTCAGGTATGCGTGCTTCATCTGTGATAAACTCTGGCTGATCAATCAAAATTATGAAAATGAAAATTACTTTCAAACAATACCATTCAAAACCATTTCATTGATGGGCTTCATAACATTAAACAGTCAAATGTTTTTTTTATTTTAGTTTGCTTCGGTTTCTCCCATTTCCTTCCTCTGCAAAATCCAAAACTTCTTAATTCCAAAGTGATCTGCTGTAAGAATGTCTAAAGAACAGACATCAAACTGAATTAATAAATGTATGGTCATTAAGAGCTTTCTCTAAGAGTTTTTCAGTTTCACTGGTTTTCTCTCCTCTACAAAAGCCAATATAGTCGAACCTCTCTATACGGACACCTCTCTAATACAGACAGTTTCCTATGTACTGACAAAGTTTTCATACATTTCCTTCAAAAAAACCTCTACAATACAGACCCTCTAAAACGGACAACAGACACTAAATCTCTTCCCTAGGGAGCAAATTCATAGAAATTTAACCTCTTTATCAAGGCCAATTTGATACAGTATAGTAAGTTCCTAGGTACAGTATATTGTTTTGTTTTAAAACCTGCATGTACGGCATGTAACTGAGAAATACGATAAAGTTAATCAATTTAGATTCAGAAATTCACAAGACACTCACTTTTACACACATACATACTTTTTTTGGCTCATCCCCACGGTGCTTTTCAGAGTCAATTTCACATTACAAAATTAAAAACTAAGTACATGACAATGATGAAAGAAGATAAAGGTTAATAAAATTAAATAAAGCAGTCATTCAGAAGCTTTTGCCTGAGTAAGTGCTTGAAATCGGTCATGGATGGGCTAAGTTTGAGTACAGGCTGCAACTCATTCCACAGAGAGGTCGCTCTATATTGATATTGAAAGGTCCTTTGGCCGCTAGCAGTATGGAAGAGTGGTATGTTCAAAAGTTGAGAGTTTCTGGTATTCCTTGTCGAGAGGGCAGATCTTCTGACAATCTTAGATGTCAAATACTCTGGTGCACAACTCGTCATGAACTCTACACTGTCAGTGGAGACTATGGTATAAATTAAAAGTAACATCATCATGGTGACCTCTCCCAGACGGACACCTCTCTAATACGGACACTTTGCTCTGTCCCTTTGGTGTCCGTATTAGAGAGGTTCAACTGTAACTCAAAATACTAAAAGTGATCAGCTCATTTGCTTTTTATGTCTGTTTTTAAGCCACTACTTGAATTTGTGAATCCTTTCTGTTTTCATTAATGCTTACTCATTTACTGTTTGTTTGTCTTTGCAGAATGCCTATCCTTGGTTTTAAGCTTCTCATTTTGGACATCTGTTTGTTTTTATTGTACTGTTAGTGTTGCAGTATTGCTTTCCTATGCTAAATTCAACACAGGTAAGTATTTACCTTTGTTCTCTAGAAGTGAGAATCTATGAGGATCAAACCAAGGAAAATTATTCTAAGTTTTGCCTGCCTGTGAAAACCAGTCACCCCTCCTGCTGAAAATGTTAATGAAACCCTTGCAATTCCCTACCATTTGTGATATCATCTGTACTTCAGTTCTGTATGGTAACACAGAAAACAAGAATCTGAGTTACCTTATTTCTCATTATTTTAGTGAGAGATGTAATTCACCAAACACAAGTGGCAGCGATCTTGTTTCCTCTTCACCCTGCCAGGATGTTTCACATGCTGTTGTTCACAACATGTGGCAGTCTTTCTGCCTGGTGCTTTTTAGGAATAATTGGAGGAGAAGAAGACTATTTAACCAGATTGTGTGAAACGTAAGTAGGGAATGTTAATAGTGTGATATTATTAAGTGCGTTCTTGAGCGACTTTCAAAAAGACACTTGATTAGTATCATTATGCACTGTAATTCATCATAATTTAATCATGATAATACTTAACTGTAGTTTACAAAATAAGGTACTAAATGATTTTATATACAGATGTAGAAGAGTGCATGTTTCTGACAATGTTGGAGGAATACACAAAATGGGATCATGACTTGTGTACTCAGGGCATCCACAGTCAAGTAGCGATCGATACCCTCAATCAACCCTCAATCAATACTTGATCAACGTGTTGGTTGACACTTGGTCGACATCTCAGTCAAACGTTGCTTGAGAGTCCACTAATTTTCGCAGTTATGCCATTGAATATCAATCTATACATATGAGTCAGTTGACACTCGGCAGTATATTGACCAACACTCGATCAAGTGTCAATCACATGTCGATCGAGATGTTGAGCAAGTGTTGATCAAGATATCGATCAAGTGTTGATCAAAGATCGATCAATGGTATCAGTCAACACTCTACTGCAGATGCCTTTAGTGCACACTATCCACAAAATGTTTATTAATCAGTTGCCTTGGGTTGGTGATTTATAAGCTCTTATCCCCTTGATTTTGATATTTTGCACTTTCAGATCAGAGGAATTCTGCTTGAATGAGCACCTTGTTTTTGGAATTCTTTTTGGAGCTTGGCTGGTAAGCACATATTCAAAGATCATGACTGGGGATGTTGGTAAGGACCAGCTGCCAGCAAATTTCACCAACAGAAGGAGAACTTAAATCCGGCTGAAATTTCGCTCAAAAACTTTGCAGCTGCCAAGGCCAGATGGACTTGTTAATGAGCTGGCTGTTTTCGCTGCTGCATTCCTGAATGATGATACAAAACAATAATGATTAGTAGTCCATGGTCTCAAATTAGTATAGGTAATCATACGGTTTCGAGTTCAATTTGGAATTAATTTGCACGAGTGAGTTTTGCAAAAAGCTGAAATTGCACGAGTTGCTTCGGCGAGTGTAATTTCAGCTTTTTGAAAACCTCACAAGTGCAAATTAATTCCAAATTGAATGAGAAAAAGCGTATGATTACTTATTAATAATATAAACATGAAAAAAATTGCATGGAGGAAGTGCTGAAAGACCTTTCTTGAAGCCATTTTTTCTCATTTGAGAAAACTTTTTTCAAAGTTTCTGCACAAAATTTTTGTCATCATTTTAAGTAATATCATTGGCTTCAAAAATTTCCTACTGTCTTTCAGCCAATCATAATCCAAAATTACGATGTGTAATTTGTACTGGTGTTACACTTTTTGCACCATTGTTACACTTTTTGCAGTGGTGTTACGTTTGAACTGCACTGCTCTAAGCCAATCAGAATTGAGTAATTTTGTCATGAATATTATTATTCCAGTGAATGTATGTTGATAAATTTTGGCTGAAGTTTGCAAAGGAACCTTTAGGTGCCTCTGTTTGTCCACAAAAAAAAAATGTCCACTTAATCTTTCCATCACACTCACAAAATCTTTGGAAAGTACAATGATTCATTGTTATTGCTTAATGTTACTGTTAATAGCAGTGTGTTAGATTATTTATTTAGTCAGACCAATCAGTGTCTACCTTAAGCTAGTTCTGTGTAGAAGAGTGACTCTAAACTACATTTGTCATTGATTACTACTGTATTTTAGGGGTTTTATTCCAGTCTAAAGTACTTCTTGAAGAAGGAATTTCATTTTGTATTTCCAAGAGTTCAGGTAAGTCTCTCACTGTAGTCCTTTAATATTTTGCTTTTGTTGTCTGTTCTCTTACATAACATGGTAATGATCTCACAATGTCCATGTGGTAGGTTTGGATATTTTCTGGAACTACACAATCAGAAATCTCTCATTGTGCTAAGAGAGACAGTAGTGAAATTTCAGCCCAAGAACTCCTTATTCAATAAAATAGAACTTCAGAGGTCTGTGAATATTTGTTGGTAATTGGTGAACTCTTCTTAAGAACATATTTCTATGATCATGATAACTTACTTTTAGTTATTTATTATGGTAACCTGACTGTATGGTGATAAACATCTTTGGCAAGCTCAGTAATATTGGTTTTGTCATTGATTTGGTAGTTTCACATTCGCGTTTTCTCATTGTTTAATTTTACCGCTTTTACTTTAATAGCAAAAAAGATTTTTCCTGATAAAGATGTCGTTAGGATCATGTATAAAGCAGAGTATTGTCCAGTGTGTTAAGGTAAGACAGAGAAAACACCAACTTCTGTAGAATTAAGAGCACAAGTGGTTAGCACAGTAGACTCTGGATCAAGCAGACTGTGTTTGATTCCTGGCCAGGGTTTTTGTTCTTTGTCACTAGCTTGTATTGATTTGAAGTTGTTTGTGTTTTACTTACTCTAGGCATGTGGATTGTACTATATTTTATATTACTTGTTCGGTAAGTTTTTGTGGTTTTTATTTTTTTATTTTTTTTTCCATTTTACCTTGAATTGGTAACATAACGTTTCATGTGAGTTTGCTTGACTGTGTTTTTTTTTGTCCAATCAGAAATATTGAGTTCTTTGCCCTAAGAGTGAAGGTTTTAAATGAATTATCAACATCTCAGTGTGTCTGCATATGTTGCCTTATGTTCATGTGCTAGTGAAAACCAGCCTTTCATATTTACTTGTCTATAAGAGCTTGAAGCATATTTCAGTCTTAGTAATGTTATATATTGATCATGACATATCTCTATTTTAATTTGTCTTAATCACAGGTAACATTCCTAGAGATGCTTTGGCCAACATGCTTGATGCTCCTCTGGACAAGTAACTCAATTTTCCTCGCCTTGTTTTAGTTTATTTGTTTATATTTAATTATCAATCCAGGCTTGTGTTTCCACTGAATCATAATAGATGACTCTCTTAGTTGTTTTCAAAGGTGTTTTTATTCTGCCTTAGTGTGCAATAAACTTAGTTTGTAATAAATTATGTTTACCTTGAAGTTAAGTTAATCACTGAAGAAATTTAAATTTGGAAAGCTGATATGTTTTATGAATAAGCTCGTTGTTGCATCAAAGTAGAGATTTAGGGCTGAGTGTCTTAATAAACTGATGGTGGAAATTGTCTAAAAATAGCCAAAAGGTGGCCAAGAAAAACTATGCGGAAAGCTATGTTTTTTAGGGAACAGTATTGTGCAGTTGTTTTTTGTAACCAAATATACTTGTAACACCTTAGGGTTATCTCAGTGATTTCACTTTTTGGCTCTGCCACTTCATATTTTTATTCATAGAACAAGTAGCTGTAGCAATTCATTCATTTTCACTCATCCTGCTTTCTTATATCCATGTTTTCAGAAGTGTCACGTTGCTCAACACAGTATATGGTTTGATGAATGTTTCCCAGTTTTGGCATCTTCTGACAACAGGCTCACTGATATTATTTGTGTGGACATTTGGCAAAAGACTTCTTGTTATCTTTCACACACAGGTAAACAAATGACCTACCATGTGTAACGCTATTTGAGAAATAAAAAACATGACCTTGTTATCTAGGTTTAGTATAAATGTACTAACATTCTATCACAAATGGCATTCTCTAATTGGCTACGCTACTCACTATTCTGTTGTAGATAGTGAGTAGCGTGGCAGTGAGTGCTTGTTAACGAACTGACAGAGGCCTCTTTGCGTTTTTGAAGTCTCCATGAAGAGGATTTAGATAAAATTTTGAACGACTAGTAGATTTGCACTAAAACAATTAGATTATTCGCTCTTGATTTCTATGCGTGATAGTTGACTCTGGCTGTGCCCTCATCAACTATCATGTGGTAGAAATCTTGAGCTCATAATCTAATTGTTAAACAGAAATATGAGTGGAAGTTTGGGAGAAGAAGAAATGCTGTGGGAACCGAGCTGACAGGCGAGTGTTTCCACAGCTTTTTGGAGTGCAAAGGACAACCACTACATTGTTCTCTATTTGCATTACATGCCAACCAATAACCATTCTCTGCCTGGTATTTTCTTCTTATCAGTCAAAGGGACAAATAAGTGCGCAGCATTGCCCCATATAATGGCTTCAGGGGAAAATATGTTACGTGATGAACAGCCATAGTGTCAGTTATCATGCAAATTGATGATGTTAGTTCTTGTTGATTTACTGATGAGCTAGCATGTATAATTTTTTCTTTCAGTTATATACATTCCCAGTGGAGTCTTCATTTAGTCATCAACAGGATCAAAGTCTTTGTGTTGTGATCAAGAACAAAACAGTACCTCTGTTAAAGGTACCCTTGAGAAACAGTCAACAATTAAATTGATTGGAAATACTTGCAAAAATGCATCCTAAACTTTACTCAATAAGTTCCTGAGATACCCTGTACATTCTTATATGTGATAGAGTTACATGTGGATAATTAATTAGAGATGATTGTAGTATGTGGAAGTGTGTAAAAAAATACTTGTGATCATATCATAAATAGCTCAATACTGTATGACCCCTAGTTTAATACAGACAGTTACAAACAGTTATTTTATATGACATTACCTTTCTCCTCTTTTTCTTCGTCAGTATCTTGCAATGTTTGACCTGTGCCACTTATCTCAGTTCAGCAGCACAAGAAGAAAGCAGATTTTCTCTCTCAGTCAACCAAGTAAGATATTAGATTATAATCAATCCACAGTGTAAGATTAATTATTACATGACATAGGCATGTAGTGTCGGATGTTAGAATGCAAATATGCACTAAAACGAGTGCAAATACAAAATTTGATCGCAACACAGAGAAAATATTTTCCTCATGCAAATGTACAGAATCCACCAAAAATTCAGCAAGACTAAAACAGATTGGTCAAAGAAACAATTTTCTAAAAGCAATTTTCTATTTCATTTAGAAAACTCTGTGAAAAAAATGAAAGGAAAATCACCTGACGTATGTATTTCAGTTATAAAAAATAAAAATTATCTTTGCTCATGCCATCACTAAGTCAATGGCTCATGCTTGTTCTGTGTTTCCATTGAGTTACAAAAGTAAAGCTTTTAGCATGCACTTTTTTACAGGTTGTTTTCTAACAGACTTCGTTAACTGTATTAGCATTAGAGGCATGCATTTCATCCAGAGAATTGTAAGTAGGTAAACACCCGAATCATTTGCACGCATTGCTTGCCTATAATTCTGGACGATATTGTTTGACCTTGTTGTACAGGTGGCCGACCAGACAACTGGACAATTGTATCAACAGAATGTCTCTCCCTTATTGAATCTCTTACAACAAAGCTGTCGGCAGAAGTTTCTCTTCAGGTTCATCTTCAGCAGCCTCCTCTGGACCCCAGATTTCTGGGTCCTGCACTCACCAATGGACATGCAAATGGACATGCCAATGGGCATGTTAATGGGCATGCAGGTTTGAAATAACCTCAGTCTGTTATTTTGCTTTTCTTTGCACTCTAAACTATATCTCCTAAAGTTGCCAAATATACAAACTTTTAACAACGTTTTCAAAAATTTCAACTTGGAAGAAATTAAAACTCAACCACCAACGCAGGAAAGTGCTTTTTTGTAGCTTTCATTTTCATGGTCACACTTAAGCATTTTATTCACAGGCACAGACTTTTTGTTGATGGTACGTTTTTGAATGCAGTACTTGTTCAAATTTTCTAACCCTTGGCAGTTGGGATTCCTCGAGTTTTGACACTTGGCAAAAATATTGCTGCAACACGAAATCATTTTTCAAGATCGAGAAACTCTAAATTGGAGTCACTGATCTACAAGCTTGTACAAATTCAGCAAATAACAGTTATAACTTTTTTAAGTTTATCATTATAGTTTTACGATGATTTGAAGTGTTTACCTACTCCTATACTTTTGATTCTTACTCTAATATAAAGTACTCTTCTTAGTTACAAGAACATGTTTGATCTTTAAACTGAGTCAATATGTCATGCATAAAGTAGTTAGTATTGACCAATATTGCGTGAAGTCTTTTATATACAATTATTTCTCCATTTCAGGACAAAGCCCTCCTGTGTTGTCCAGTCCATATCAATCTCCCTCAAGTGTGTCAAGCGTAACAAGAAGACAACAGTCATTATCATCTCCAGGAGCAGTTCATCTTTGGTCTGAGAAAACTGGTAAGATGTATTAATTTTCACACTCTAAGATCCTGTACTGCGATCAGGATAAACGTTTTCTTGCTTGAGTGTGACCAGGAACTTCCTTTATGCAAGTTGTTCTGTTTATAAACTTAAAGTAATTAGCTTGTGGCCAGGACCATTACTCAGTGTCTGCCAAGGAGAAGTGAAACCGTATAGGAACTTGGGAATTGTGTATTTTGTCGTCAGGTCTGCATTTGTGGAGGTAGACTTTTGTTCCTCTTCCTCGCATTATTGGGACTCAGTTTTGACTCACTGAGTGCCAAAAGAGATTTTTCGCAGAGAGTTTTTCGCTTTCTGAGCTCAGCTTTCACATCTCGACTCGTGGACAAGTCCTGAGTAGATTTGAACCTTGGACGACATCTTATGATTTTACACGTTTCATAATGTTGGGGTTTAACTATCTTGTATTGCTCTCTTAGATAGCGCACTGAAAATGCCGTCTCCATTGAAGCCTAGACAAGACAACAGTTTAATCAGCCGTGTTAGAAACAAAACGATCGACAAGGTACAAACTGAATTAATACACATAAAGCAAAAATAAGATATTTATATTCTTATGACAGTAGGGTCCCAGATAGTGATATAACTTTCTCAAACTCATTAATAATTCATCAAGTTTAAACAAGGGAGATCATCACCGTGACGGTATTTGGATATCTGATCTTAATTAGCATAGATTTTTACGATTTACTTCTCCGTTTTCTTCCCAGTTCAAGTTTTGGTTTAGAAGACATATCAAACACTCAAGACAGTGTTTGACCACACTTCCAAACACATCGAGGTTCGTCAAAAATACTCCGCTGCGCGTCGTATTTTCAATTCTCTTCTCGGTGTTTGGACATGTGGTCAAACATGGTCTTTCGTGTTTGATATGTTACTTCAACACCGCTGGGTATCAAAGATTCATGTAGTGTTTGTGAGCGGAGTTTTAGGCTCTTCAATATTCTACCAAGAGTAGATGACATTATTCCATCCTTCCTTTCTTTTATTGTTTTTTCATATGAGGTGGATGATTTGGCTTGGAGGCTAAACCAAGTTCCGCACAACGTAAGTTCTTGATAGAAGTCGTTTTAGTTCTCAAATTATTTAGTGTGGTGAAAATGTTTTTCTTAATTTAGATTAAACCAGTATCTGTGACAAAGTTTTTTTCATTACTCATCTGTTTTGTTGTCCAACTCTTGTGTCTTTGGTTCATTTAGATTGCTCGTAGATTAAAGCAAAGACCTATCATTGGGTTTCTGTTTGATGAGGTAAGGTTAATGAAGGATTATATCTCTTAAAGGAGCTCAATCACGGTATTTTGAGTTATTTTGGCCACGTACAAAAGTACCTGTAGATTGAAGGAAACCTGAAAATAATAGTTTTCTTAGATAGAAAAACACCAAAGAGATAGTAATAAACCATAAAGAAACAAAGATGGTTGAGGATGTAGAAGATTAACACGGATTACAAAAGACGAACTTGAAAAAATTTGGCTAAACTTTTCAAGATGCGCAAACCGTGAACTCTCTATATCAGTCCCTCCAAGCTCCTGAACGTTTGTACAAGAGAGGCCTGGACATCTGTGTAATCTGGTACCCAGATCTTCTCATTCTTCGGAAATACCTGGGTACGAGTATTAGCTCCCGACCATAGCAATGCGTTTTCGTTTGAAAACGCATACTGTTTGATGTGTTGTCGTCTATCGTCCACTCTAAAACGGCCGAAAACGCTGATGACAACGGAGGCTGTCGAAAACGGTTTCGAAAGTGGAGTGTTATGAAAATGTATTGTTTTGGAAACACCCCGTCTCTAGTGTGGACAGTTGAAAACGGAGGTTTTTGAAAACGGTGACGAAAACAGCGCTATCTACTGTCGCATCCATCAGGGTTTTCGGGCGTCTTAGTGTGGACGATAGGCGGAAACGCATCAAAAAGTATACGTTTTCGAATGAAAACTAATTAGTGTGGACAGGTGAAAACCAAACGAAAACGCTAGTGTGGACGAAGATGTTTTACTTCGTTTTCTTCGAAATGAAAACAGAGACTTTTGAAAGCGCATTAGAGTGATCGGAGCCTTACACACATTTAGACACAAATGTTCATGCTGACAAAGTATTTGAGATGACCACCTTGTGTTGGGGTTATTTGCTTTTCAGATCCCAGAAGCACGAACTCAAGCTATTTTTACTGACTGTCAGCTTCACATCTGGGCTGTAGAAGGTAGGTAAGAATGCCTTTCGAAATAAAAGCTTCTTCGGAGGTTTCTTCTAATATCGCAGTTAAATCGTAACCGGTTATCGCTGGAGTGGCTAGTTTTTAACAACAAGGGACTTGTTATTTGAAAATGTGAACCACCTCTTGTTACTTGTTTTCTTTACTAATGCTCTTTATGTTGTCCCGTTTCCTTTTTAGTTCTCTCAAGACTTGTTGCATGGTCGTACACGGAAGACACATTTGGTGTGGTGCAAAAGGTATTTCATTTTTTACTGCATCGATATAAAACTGAATTGGGCATTCCAGGTTTTTCGGTAGAGCGGCAGATTGCCTAATTACCTTTTAGGTAATTAATATTTAAGCGATTCCACTCGCTTACAAGCACACAACTGCTGCACACAAGGTTGTTTATAAACTGCAAACCTCCAAACGATTTTACAGCGGATTACCGTTAAAGTTAGGTGGGGCGAAAGATTGTCTTTTCACGGTATATGTGAGCAATGTTTTTTAATGCACAAACCTTTTTTTTTTCACATTTGTTTTCCTTGTGTTCTTAATCCAGATCGCCTTTTCTTTTTTTCATTTTCAGAGCCTCCCAAAAATCTTTGTCTCACTCTTAAATTTACTGCAGGTGGGATATTCAACACTGCTTTTACTATCTGAGTTGACTTGTTGCTTTGCTTCACATTCAAGCACTACCGAAATAGAAGACGCCGATGGTAGCCATTGTCTTTTAAAAGAAATTGTAACAAAATAACGCGGAAGTAATTTTGCAAACACATTATGCTTAGGCAATGCACAACGGAATCAATTCGTTATTTCTCTTACGAAACAACCCATGCACGTACCAATGGTTGCGGATTTATTCTTGGAGTTTTGATCAAATCATTACGCCGTGAGCGGTTCTCAGTTGAGTGTCGAAAGTAATCAGGCAATTACTTTGTTTTTGGTGTCGGGTTTGGTTTTACTACCGTTTGAGATTGGCTGAGTAGTCTAATTGGTAAATAATTGGTTTGGTTTTACGACGCAGTTGAAAACCGCCATAAACTGAAGGAATAACGTGTTTTGTGATTGGCTCTTTAGTGTTTCTAATCATGCTTTTGTGACAGGCATTTCTAAAACTGGTTTAATAAACCTGTTATTGCTTGTTTTGTATTCAGGCTTTGGACCAGCATTCCAAGCTTTCCTTGGCATTAACATCAAAACCAGAAATCCAAGCCAGGCCCCGTCAGCCCCAGGGCTATCAGCTGAGAACAAGTACGTGATTCTTACCTTTTTCACAACATATATGCTCTGTTTTTGTTTTTTATTTCTCTAACATACACTAAACCTGTATTTGTTTTACACTTTTCAGCACTCGTGTCCTCGATTTACAGAATAACCGACATTTTCCACGAACATTTACGGTAAGTTGCTAGTCTTTTATTGACATAATAGTGGACTTGAATTCGTGTGACTTTCGAGAAACGAACATTAAATTTGTTTCCTTGTAGCTTAAAGTTGTAAACTTGTGCAAAGTGGCATTTCTATAGTGTTTTTCAAGAATTTTGCATAGTGCTTTTTTTTTTCATTTTTATTGGTATGGTCGTCACCAGATTAAAAAGAAATCGTGCCTTAAAGGAGCGTCAGTCACAGTATTTTGAGTTTTTTTGGCCATGTATAAAATTACCTTACATTGAAGAGAACCTGAAAATAATAGTTTACAAAGATAGAAAAACACCAAAGAGCTAATACTAAACCATAAAGAAACAAGGATGGTTAAGAATGGAGAAGATTGACACGGATTACGAACGAAGAACTTGAAAAATCGAGGCTACACTTTTCAAAATGCGCAAACCGTGACGAAACTCCTTTAACTAGCAGATTTTGTCTTGATGTATTATGAAATTCTCATACATCGCATTAAAAAGAAATGTATGTGAATCGGTAAGGAGAATTAATATTTCCAGCTTGGGATCGCAAGGATTGACATTTCTCTTGCTGTGTTGTTGTTTTTCACAGGAATATTCCGATGGCCGTGGAACATGAAAAGAAGCTTGAATCGTTTTTGAAATTCAGAGAGTAGGCGACGAAAAATCAAAGTTTACTTCTGGCAAAAAAAAACCTTTCAAAGAAATGATAAACTACCTGTAAAAAAAGTAGAGTATATGATGATGCCGTTGACCTCATTCAGTTTGCGTTGAAAATATGTTCTTTTGTAGCTGACCTTGATAAACAACAATGTATTGTTTTAGAACTAGGGCGTAGGGACGTTTGTCGGACCTTTTCGGGACCCTTTCGTTAGGGCGACAGTGTGACGCAAGCGTGCGAGTGTTGACGTGGTATTTTGATTGGTTAATGTAAAAAGTCGGAAAATCTTCGTGTGTTTCTCCAAAAATTCGCGAAGAACAACCTTTGTTTACCCAGTCTGGATATTTCACCAAAATCTGAAGTTCAATTTCAGCGAACGGGTTTCACAAAGCAATTTCATATGAAGAAAAAGGCAGAAATAGAATTACGTCTTACTTTAACTAAAATTGTTTGGATAGGAAGCGTTACTGTTTGTATAGTTAAAGAATCGTGAGTTCCTTAGCTTGGGGAGTTGAAAAATGTAAGTTCAATAAATTAGATTTACATGAAAAATGTCTAAGGAATGATTTCATTATGTAATTAAAATTGACGTATAGAATTCTTTTTCAGTTAGACGCAATTACCATTAACCAATGATCCTAATTAGCTAAACAATTAATATATGCAACAGAACTTAATGGGAAATTAAGTTTGGAGCAAAGCTAACGAGAGGTAACGTGCCTTTAAGCAAAGGTTCGAAACTTTTCAAAATGGCGTTTGTTACGATTTCAAGCTGGACTAAAAAATGTCCAAAGGGTTGTTTTTTGACAGCTCTCGGTGTTGGGAGCGCGGCGCTTGCCGTGGCTGTCGCGTACAAGGCTGTACAGGCGCGGGGCAAGTCTTCGGAGTTTGATGACCGCGGTTTCCCCGCAATGGCTGACTATCCCGATCTTCGCCACCATAACAATCTCATGGCGAAGCATCTGACCCCCCGGCTTTACAGCAAACTTCGCGATAAAGTCACCGCAAGCGGTTTTACATTGGATGCGGCTATTCAAACCGGAGTCGACAATCCAGGACATCCGTTTATCCTTACTGTGGGAGCCGTCGCCGGAGATGAAGAATCGTACGATACTTTCGCGGAGCTTTTTGATCCCATCATCGAGGAGCGACACAACGGCTTCAAAAAAACGGACCTGCACAAAACTGACCTGGACTCATCCAAGATCCGTGGCGGGAAATTCGACGAACGTTACGTGTTGTCCTCGCGCGTGCGCACGGGACGATCGATTCGCGGGTTCAGCTTGCCGCCTCACTGCTCACGCGCAGAACGAAGAGCGGTAGAGAACATCGTGTGCGAGGCTTTAGATGGACTTAAAGGTGAGTCTCCTTAAAAAGACTAAGAACTCTGTTGCATGCAAAATGGTTTTCAAAATGAGTAAAACCGAATAATAACCGGGTGAAAAGAAAGAAAAATGCAAAAGAAGTTGTAGGAAACTGTAGATTACGACCGATGGTCAAAATTGTACAGGATTGAAAGAGGTTGCAAATATCATAACTTTTGTCGATAGGACTTGAAGTTCAAGCGATGTTTGGTGAGAAACTGGTCCGCCTGGTTTGAGGTGAAAAGAAAGTCTCTTCGTTTTGTGACTAAGATTTCAGCATGAGTGCGAACTTTCCGAAGATAAAATAACTTTATCCAGCGTTTAAGGCCCTCTAAACGAATTTGATTTGAAACCGGCCCAAGACCCAATTTTTCACGGTCTCTCATTACTAATGGCGGTAAAACAATCACTAATTAATTATTAACGGGCTCGAACGCGCGCTTTTATTGGTTGAAAGCCATAAACAGAAAATCAAAAAAAAAATAACTGTAAGGACAAAAATAGCGTACAGCTTTTTTTACGTGTCAACTCAGTCACGGCAGTTTAAGCTACTCTGACCACGTGCAAAATTGCTTTTAAATTGAAAGTAACCTGAAAATAATAGTTAACTAAGATAGAAAAACACCAAAGAAATAATAATAAACCATAAAGGAACAAGGATGGTCAAGGATGTAGAAGATTGAAACGAATTACAAACGACGAACTTGAAAAATTTAGGTTAAACTTAACGTAGCTCCTTTAATCTGGTTATGTTCGAATGCCTGTGTTTCCTTCTTAAATATAAACAGTATAAAAAGGAAAGTGACGTTGAGTTGCCGGAATAACCCCACGATTCTTTTCAAAAACGTTCAGGTAACCTGTCTGGGAACTACTATCCGCTGAACGGCATGACCGCAGCCGAACAACAGCAGTTGATCGACGATCACTTCCTGTTTGACAAACCAGTCTCCCCGCTTCTCACGTGCGCTGGCATGGCACGTGACTGGCCTGACGCGCGTGGAATCTATCATAACAACGACAAAAACTTCCTTGTTTGGATCAACGAGGAGGATCACACGCGCGTCATCTCCATGGAGAAGGGAGGTGACATGAGGGCAGTGTTCGATCGCTTCTGTAAAGGTCTCAATGAAGTGGAGAGACTTATTAAGCGTAAGGGACATGAGTACATGTGGAATCAGCATCTGGGATATATTCTCACTTGTCCTTCTAATCTTGGGACAGGCCTTAGGGCTGGAGTGCATGTGAAGCTACCCAACCTGGCCAAGGTAGGAAAACTGCGAATGCCCCCCCCCCTCTACCTCTACCTCCTCCGATGGGAAGGAAATTGCTATCTGAGCAGATGTCAAGTTTCAGATACATACTATTTTAGACTTCAAGCTGTTTCTTTTTTCGCTCAAAAATCGTCGAGTGAAAAGTGTGAAAAGCGTTCGTACAACTATAGAGTCGCAACTTTCTTACCCAAATATTCAGTTAGTCTGGTTACAGATTCTCTCTGTCGTTGTAAGGTATTTTACAAGAATAGAACCCCTCCTTTCTTCCCGACCCCTATACTCTGTCCTTAATTATCTCTCTATACAAGCTATTAAATTATAGACGTGGAATAATTGTTAATTATAGCTGGGGATTACACTACCACAAGTTGGCAAATTGCCTTTGTTGAGAGTAAAAAGAAGTGTTACAAAAGCTTTCAAAAAAACGTTTTTAAACAATGTATTGCGGAAATGAAACTCGGTACTGTCTGTCGTGGGACTGGTTCAGTTAATTCTATACATAAAACTGAGCATCTTTTTTTCTCCTCCAGGATTCAAGATTTGGCGAAATTCTGGACAAACTGAGATTGCAGAAACGCGGAACTGGTAAGAACTCATGCTTCAGGGCTGTACGTTTCTCATTTATTTTCCATCGCAATCGTTCTACATGTTTATGTTGCCTTTTTCTTTTCAGGCGGTGTTGACACAGCAGCCGTGGGCAGCACATTTGACATCTCCAATTCTGACCGTCTCGGCTTCTCGGAGGTGCAACTCGTCCAGAGCGTGATTGACGGCGTCAATCTTCTCATCAACATAGAGAAGAGGCTGGAAAAGAACAAGGCCATCGATGACCTTATCCCCAAATAAGGAAGTCGTGACGTTTGCTGGGTTTTGCATCTGCTTTCTTGCATCGCTTTCTCGCAGCTGTGCTTTAAACTGCTTTAGAAACTGAGGCTTGTCAAAAATCATTAATTAATGAAGCAGCGGTCACCATACGCGCGTGTGATTATATATTAGTGACCGCTGTGCAGTTTATCCGTGGCAGGCTTTGCTTGTCTGGCGGTGGGCCGACTGCAACTTGACAAGCCGCCTGAAGTGATAAAGCAGAAAACATGCTGATGTCTGACAAATGACTGGAATAAAAAAATTAAAAACTGCACCAAATTGATTTTTTGTGGATATTGCTATCGAATACTACACGGTTCTCAAAGTTATCCTTTCTATTTTATCCTGAAAAGTACTTTACTTGACTGACAAAAACATTTTTACGACATCCTAGCCAACAAAACGATGTGATTAATTCACAAATCAGATGTCAGAAAATCTCCTACAGAAAGGACTTTACGCCAGTGTGTTCCCACCCCCTACCCTGTCAAGTCTCCTGTTTTGCGCTGGCGTCCAGTTCTCTCACGATTCTATCCGTGTGTTCAATGATCGAATAGAAATTCGAGAAAATAGAGGGCTGTGAACAGTTTAGTGCAGCCTTGTCTGTTCAAACGCTTCACCACATATGTGACGCATATACCACCCACAAGCACTGGCAGATCGAGGCCAGGGGGATTTAAGGGGAGGGGCAAGCCTACATGGGTCGTCTCTCGCGCGAAGAATGGATGATTCCTGGACTTTTAGGTCCTAGTTTAGACAGAAAGGTTGTGCTTTCCCATACCCAGCACTGCTTATGTACCTTGACGAAAACTTAATTGCTCTCGCTTTTTTGCGTTTGCGCAACTTAGCGGAGCAATATGGCACTCACAGAGGTAGAGAGTTAACCCTTTGCCCCTATGAATTCCATATGGTAAGTACTTATCCTTGTGCTTGTTTCACACCTATGAATCAGCCGTAAGCGTTTTCTTTGTCTATGGCAACCAATACTATGCACGCCATTCGTGTTGGTGACGTCTGAGTTAAGTCAACTGATGTAACCCTGCTCTTGGCTCTCGGGCTTTTTTCACACTCGTACCCAATCGCTTTTACGGGTCAGATCGGATTGCTTCAAAGAGAAAGCGGTTTGGATCGAGTAGAGCGCGCGGGGAGTTAGGAGACGATCCTTCCCATGACACCCCGCGCGTCTTAATCCATCCTGGTTTCCAATCTTCTCTCCTCACAAAACACGAAAATAGCGACTGGGTACGAGTCTGGGCGTTTTTGGCCTTTTCAGATATGGGAGGGTTACAAAGGTGGTTTTCGAACTGTCACGCCAAAAAAGCCTCTGTCACTGACAAACTTCTACTGACCCTTCCCCAGATGGTCACAATACATGAACTACAAAGCAATATTTCACTACGTTGTTCTCACATGAAATCATTTATTTACAACTGGTCCAGCCTTTTTTTTTTACCCAATGCAATCTGGATGCAAAGAACAACGTTTTATAATATAACTGCACTTGTTGTAAGATAAAAAACACACTCTGGCATGGGATAGGAAAGCGTTTAAAAGTGGTTGGAAAACGAGGAAAGATCGTTAAAAGTATGTTGTTAGTTACATCGGATATTGCAATGTTTTAAATGCAGTTTTGCCGTCGTTAAGCAATAAAATTTGCCACGAAAAACTGCAAGGCATTTTTGCACTTGACATTCCGTTTGTCGTATTCTGAGGTCCGGTCCTGTTCCAAATCTTTGAGTTGATATCTTGGAGTCAATAGGCAAGCGTTTTATTTGTATGGCGGGACTAGGTCATTTATTGGTCGATTACTGTCCAGTCTCTTTTCCATCGCTATGAGAAGATTGACACCGTCAATCACTTTCTGGACAAGTTCCACTTCGGAGAAACCCAGTCTGTCTAGATTGGAGATATCAAACACATTTCCTTCCGCGGCTGTGTCTACACCTCCTGTTGAGTTAATAGATTGCGTTGATAAGTATTCACCATTTTGACTACGCCGGGGGAATTTAAAATCGCACGTTTCACTCTGGAAACGCATCAAATGTTTTCCGTCCACACTACGCCGGAAAAATTTAAAAACGTTACAATCACCGGTGGATTTGTGTTTGAGGAATACTCGGTCAGCGAAATCACGGGATTATCGCGATGCCATCGTTTTCGAAAAGCTCCGTTTCCAAAATGTTTTCCGTCCACACGAAAACGAAAAGTCGCGGTTTTTAAATTCCATCGGTTTGAAAAGCGTTTTCGAAACGGATTGATGTGGACGGTAGGCCTAACCGGTACCGTAGAAATCATGTAAAGCTGCGTTTTCAAATTTTTCTGATGTAGTGTGGAGGGTGCCGTAGCTAGAAATTAAGGAATGTCTTTTGTCCCCCAGACAGGCAGCGAGCGAGGTGCGAAATAAGAGTGAGAGAGAAAATGGTCGTTCGAGAATTGTGGAAAGTTTATCATGAAGTCTCAAACAAACAAAACAATAAAAAACAAGCAAGTAAGCAAGAAATTACCCGTTCCGCGTTTCTGTAACCGCAACTTTCCTAGAATCTCGTCAAATCGCGGATCCTGAAAATAAACATAGCACCTCAGTTAGTCGATAGTGGATGCCCTCTGCTATACTTTTCAGTGACACACATGTGTACATGTATATAAAAAGTGAAAGTGGATAGGAGAATTACTACTATTTGTTTGAAATTTTAAATAGAGAGTTAGGACCTTTCCTGAGTGTGGTAATCTAAGATGTACTCCAGCTCTTAAGGACGGTAACATATTTAAAACCTCTTTTGGGATATTTTTATAACAAAATCGTGGCAACGGCGCTTTTAGCGTCCCTAACAGCTCTGGTTTAGCCAAAATACAGTCTAAATAGGCTTATTGCCGCTTCCATTCGATTACATAAAATGTAGGGGTAACCACGCGTGCCTGTTTCACCTCGCCAGTAAGTCATACATTTGCGTCTCTCGCATTTGTTTTGCTCGCGCACTATGCCATCTGCAGGTATATGCTTACAGCTGGATTTCAGTGTAATCTTTTCCGGACACCAGCCAAGTTCTCACCTGGAAACCGTAAACATTTAGTGGTTAGCGATATTCTCCTGTTTTGTTGTTCCTGGTTTTCGTACAGATTCATTGAACTTGATTTGGTCACCTCAGAAAAATTTTGCTTTCATTTCAGTGGCGCACTTGGCAGCGGTGTTGTTTACGTCAATTCAACCCAAGTGCGCGTGACGTGTAAAGCATGTCTTATGTGGTGCGCAAAACGCGTGCGCACTAACAAAAGAAGGCACCGTCCTCAAACCAGTTCCTTCCCGCTTTGGAAGAGATTCGTTATTTTCTTACCTTGGCCAGGTTAGGTAGCTTAACGTGCACTCCAGCCCTAAGGCCTGTTCCAAGATTAGAAGGACAAGTGAGAATATATCCCAAGTGCTGATTCCACATAAACTCGTGCCCTTGACGTTGAATAAGTCTCTCCACGTCGTAGAGGCCGCGACAGAAGCGATCAAACACTGCCTTCATGTCTCCGCCCTTCTCCATGGAAATGATGCGCGTGTGGTCCTCCTCGTTGATCCACACGAGGAAGTTTCTGTCGTGGTTATGCCAGATTCCTCGCGCGTCAGGCCAGTCACGTGCCATGCCGGCGCACGTGAGAAGCGGGGAGACTGGTTTGTCAAACAGGAAGTGATCGTCGATCAGCTGCTGTTGCTCTTCCGCTGTCATCTCGCTCAGTGGATAGTAGCGACCAGACAGGTCACCTGGAATTATTTGAAATATTGAGTTTTTCAATTGTGCCATGACCACCTAAACTTTGATCATGTTAGGCGGGCGCGCGCACGAGGAATAACAGGTTAGCACGTGCACAGATGACAAGTAGAACTTAATGACACTCTGGTCAAGCAAGACGTAATTTTCACCCAGAGATTTTTGAGTTGTCAAAGTCTAGGTTGTTGTCCAGAGCTTAGGGCCATTGTGAGTACATCGAGTTCTTAATTTACTGGCTCGCACGTTTTATGCAACATATTATTCTGTAGCGCGTACTTCCCTTGAGAGTAAAGAGATGAAAGGTCGTATGTTCTGACATTCTTAGCGATTGTTTGTGATTCTGTAGGTGAGTTTGCGGTTTTCCAAGGTGCAAATATGGCGCGCAATTTAATATTTGTCTCAGAATCAGCTTGGAAACATACCTTTCAGTCCCGCAAGTGCCCTGGTAACAATTTTTTCAATTTTTCTTCTCTCCGCTCTTGAGCAATGCGGCGGTAAACTAAAACGCTTGATGGATCTTCCAGTTCGCACGCGGGAAGACAGGACATAATTCGCATCAAACTTTCCGCCGCGAATTTTGGACGAATCCAGGTCAGTCTTGTGCAAGTCCGTTTTCTTGAAGCCATTATGGCGCTCTTCGATAATCGGATCGAACAATTCTGCAAATGTTTCATATGTCTCTTCATCACCAGCGACTGCTCCCACAGTGAGGATAAATGGATGTCCCGGGTTGTCGACTCCGGTCTGAATCGCCTTGTCCAGTGTAAAACCGCTCGCTGTTTTTCTATTTCGCAGTTTAGCGTATAGCCGAGGAGGCAAGTGCTTCGCCATCAAGTTGTTGTACTGTCGCATGTCTGGATAGTCCGCTATCGGAACGAAACTTGGTTTAGATTCTTCCGAGCGCGCGCAGGAAAACCCAGATAATTTATAAACGCCGATTCCGAAGGCGATGGCGGCCACAGCTGCGGCACCGTAAATGACATTTTTGTCGTTTTGAAATACTGAGAAAATAGCAGGCATGGCGAACTTAGCTTGAAGGGAACATCTGAATAATCCACTTTACAGATCCACCCGAATGTAAGTGATTTGGACAAAATATGTAATTGACTAATGATATTACGTCATAAATTGAAATGGTATATTCCTTCAAGAGACTGAGTCGAGCTATTTTACGAGTAGGTGATTCTGTTTCAACCCTTTTACAGCGTAGCCTTGAAACGTATAATGGATTCGCAATGTTTATTTTCCCGCTGTAAAGAAACAACTTTCTCTCGAGATACAGAGTATATTTGCGCCACGCGCGATTTAGCGAAACTATCCCCAGTGCCCCTCTAAATTTTTGCGCTCGTTTCACGTCTTTGTGGCACCCGTCTTTATACGTTTCGCGACTCTGTGAATGAACTCCAAGTCGGACCAAATTGAAATTTGAATTTTTTTTTCTTGAATTTGAATTTTGTGGACTCTCGATGATGAAAGGTTTGTGGGAGTTATGTCGGTCTTCTTTTGGTATTTCTAGAATTATAATGTGGTTGTAAAAAGTTTATTATTTTTATTCACATGGACGTGCATATGGGGAAATTAAACAATACCAAGAAACATTTTTTCCTTCCCCTTTTGAACTTTCTGACCCCCAGTCATCTCAAGATATTTCAGTCCTCCACCACAATTTATTACAAACCCAGAAAAAAAAACAGAGGCCTCTGCAAAAAAGTAAAAAACTTGAGGATTACAAAAATGGCGCAGGAGCTAATAAGCTTAAAGGAGCTACTTTACGTTTTGCGCATCTTGAAAAGTTCAGCCTAAACTTTTCAATTTCGTTGTATGTAATCCGTGTCAATCTTCTCCACCCTTAACTATCCTTGTTCCTTTATGGTTATTATTTTCTCGTATGTGTCTTTCTTTTTCTGTTTTTTTTAATTAAACTATTATTTTCAAGTTTCCTTCAATTTAAAGGTAACACCACAGTCATACAGAAAGAAGTGAAAGTAACAGGCCACTTTCGATATATTAAAATTCAGCTTGATAGCAAGGCCTAGAAGACAAAAACAAAAGAGCCATTTAATTTCCTTTGTTCATGTCCTCTAGGCCTCACTACTAAGCTGAATTTTAATATTTTGAAAACACTCTATTGCAAAGACTGAAAGTAACCTTGCGTTGGCAGAGGCCCTTGAAGACTAAATCTCATTAACCGGTCATCAGGTGTTCTTTTTATGACCAGCAAAAAAGAATGCCTCAACGCAGGTTAAAATCTCATAGGTATTGGAAAGTCTTGGAATACACCCAACACACTTTATATCACACCAGACTTTATTGCTCTTAAACAAAAAATGCTGTAAGTACAACACTTTACAGAGTCAACTCATTTGCCTACAAGTTACTTTTCTTTTCATGGTCAAGATATCTACAACCAAGTTCATAAAATGTCTATAGTAATTTAATAAACAAAAACATAAAACCTTGTGAGTAACATTGCTTTATTTAGAAATGAATATAGTATGTTCAGAAATGTTTGTCTTTCAAACTCTGTAAATATTTCTTCCATACATTTTTAAATATCATGGTTCCAACCTTTGCAGAGAGTAAACACGGTATGTTTTACTAATAGTCAAAACAACACACCATTACTAGGGTTTCATTAACGGCCAGGCACAGGGCAAAATGACCAGCTGCAAGATGATTTTGCCTGCCTGGTTTTACAATCTAGGGAAAGTGTTTCTTATAAAGAAGTTTAGTTCGAAAAATATTGCACACATGTGAAAATCAGTTGCCAAAATGCTGAAAATGTTAATGACACCCCTGCATTACTACAATGCATATCTAGTATGACAACCAGTATGAAAAATAGTTCCTTTCATTACAAGTTTGTTTCTTTTGGTATTTGAATATTTTACAACTGTTGCAGTTTTTTTTTTCCAAGAGCCCCTGCCTCATGCCAGACAATTTTTCTTTGCAAGTAACTTTGGTGACTTTTTAACACAACTGTTTGATATACCAGTTGACTTCCACAATGTCTTTCATGACCTAATCACCAGTGGCACATTAGGTTGATTTATTACCAGTCTGCTGCTCCAGGTGCGAGGTAATCCCTTCGTCCAATGTTGCCAGCTTGTTTGGTTTGCATTGCTTCCAACTTGGGACATTCAGTAATTCTATGCCCAAGGCCACCACAATAGGCACAGCCACGTTCCTCTCCAAGATCAAGGTAACCTTCATTTTCTGCTTGTAGTGCTGCCAGTACTGGAGGTATTTTCTGCTTCGCCTCGAGCAACAAGTGCTTCAGATCCAACAGAACTGATTCATCACAAGATTTGTTGATAAATGTTGTAGCAACTCCAGTCTTCCCACAACGACCAGTGCGACCAATCCTATGGACATAGTTCTCAATGTCTTCAGGCATGTCGTAGTTAATAACATGCTGAATATCGGGAAAGTCAAGTCCTTTGGAAGCAACATCAGTTGCCACCATCACATCTTTCTTGCCTTCTCTAAAGCTTCTCATTGCACTCTCCCGTTCTTCTTGATCTTTGTCACCATGTATAGCGACAGCTTCCACTCCCTTCAAAAGCAAGTACTCGTGAATATCATCAACATCTGCTTTTTTCTCAGCAAAAACCAGCACTGGGGGAGCTGTTTTCTGTAAGCATTCCAACAGATAAACAACTTTGGCTTCCTGTTTCACATATTCAACTTCTTGGATAACATCAAGACTTGCTGCTCCTGCTCTTCCTACATTGACAGTTACTGGCTTGACAAGAGCACTCTTGGCAAAGTTCTGAATCTTTTTGGGCATGGTTGCACTAAACAGGAGCGTCTGACGCTGTGACTTGAAGTAAGAAAAGATTGTTCTGACGTCTTCCTCAAAGCCCATGTCGATCATGCGATCAGCTTCATCAAGAACCAAATACCGGCATATGTCCAGATTGACCATCTTCTTCTCTAACAAGTCCATCAGTCGACCTGGCGTGGCAACCATCATGTGAACCCCTCTTTTGACGATCTCCAGTTGATCTTTCACTGAAGTTCCACCAATGCAAAGAGCAGATCGGAGAGAAGGAAAGCCATCCAGTTCCAAGGCCCTTGTAAATTCAGAAATCACCTCAAATGTTTGCCGTGCCAGTTCTCTAGATGGAACAACAATGAGCCCGTAAGGACCCTCTTGCTTCTGGAATGGTAGAACCTTCTCCTGCTCAAGGCTGAACATGATGATTGGAAGCGTGAACACCAGCGTCTTTCCTGAGCCTGTGAAGGCAATACCAATCATATCCCTCCCAGTAAGCACAGCTGGTATCCCTTGGATTTGTATAGGTGTTGGGTGAGTTATTCCTTTTCGCTTCAGTGTGTTCAGAACAGCCCGAGGAAACTTCATCTCCTTGAAAGTCTTGACTGGAGGTGGAATGTCCTCTCCCTCAACTAGAATATGCCATTTCTTCCTTATTTTATCAAACTTCTCTGGGGGATATGACTTAAAGTACCTTGGAGGGCGCCATCCAGTCTTGATGGAATCAGTGTAAACAATTCCTTTTGCAATTTCACCAACAGCCATCAAAACTTTTTTCTCGGCGATGCTATCCAAGATCTTTTCCTCCTCTTTAAGCTGTTTCTCATAGTCGGTCTCCTTCTCAGCTTCAGCAATCTTCTTTAATTCGCTGTGTTGATCCAACAAACTAACATTGGTTTTTAACCCAATGGGAACCTCCTCGTGTTTTTCTTTCTCCACTAACGACGTTTGTGACACACTCTGCACAGTTTCCACCGGTGGTGGCGGTTCTGTCTTTCTTTTTAAAGACTTTTCTCGTTTTTCAAGCTCAAGCCTTCTTCTTTCTTTCAACGGAACATAAAGTTCCACGTCCTCTTCATCAGACAATTCGAATTCTTCCAACCTCTCTTCATGTCGTCTCTTTCTCTGGCTTGCCATTTTCAAAATAAAGTTCACTTTCACAAAATTTTTCTACCCTGACGCATACGGCCCTTTCACCAAGAGATCCACGAGAGGTAGAAAGTGGGTGAAATTTTGTGGAGACTTTCGTAGATAGATTAAAAAGTCGATATATCACAGTCGTTTTCTACGTCGAGATGACGGTGTCTCGAGCCCGCAATTCTCATGAGGAACACTAAGGTCACGTGGGATGTGCGATGGTGTTGACGGGGCTGGGGAGGGGGGTGGGTAGTGGACGATTGGCTTTTGATAATTTTTTTCCTTCCTGATATTTTCAAGGGTCCCAAGAATAGACACTAGTTTTAAAGGGTAGTCAAATCCAAGTCAAAGAAAGGGTAGAAAAACTGGGAAAAAATTGCCACGCAACGAATGGTCTCATGCATATCTTTGGGGGATAAGAACGGAGCAATGCATATTTTATTTTTTTTCTATGTTTTATATATGTGAGGTTAAAATTTGGTATATGAATTCATTGAACATTTCTGCGTGAAACTCTGCAGGTATACCATAGAATTTCTTTTTTTGTGTGTAAAGTAAATGCGAGAGAGAGAGAGAGGTCGGAGCCCTGCAGCATGCAGTCAATAATGCATGAAGCGGAAATTGATAGAAAAGGATTTTATTTCCTGTGTTTTCTGGGCCTCACTGGTCTAGCAACCGAAGCCTCCTTCAGCAACCGGATTGTACAAACACACGTGGGGGTACATTGATTATTCAGGGAATTACGGTACTTTATTTGCCACTCTACATTATTTATCTTTCTTTGCCGGAGGCATTTGCGTTATTTTTTAGACGTGAAAAAACCTTTCTTCTGATTGGCTTTTTTAACGATGATTTTGTAATTCAGCCAATCAGAAGTGAGATAATGTAAAAGCTTCGATGGCAAGGCGCTTCGCTTGAGACCTGGAAGTTGCAAGATTTCCTTCCACAATACTCATCTGTGTTCAAAATTGCCGCTTTGCAGCAAAACCTTTTACGGTGACTTGTAACTATCATGTGTTAGCAACAGTATTTGCTCTACTGATTTATCATCAAGATTTTCATGTCACAGAAGTACTTCAAAGAACATCTTCCTTCACTCGACACTTGTGTTTGTTTTGCTTAGCGCATAATTTACATTCTCTTGGATAGCAAAACTTGTACTTCTCCGCCTTGGATTATTAACAGGCCTTAGAAATGGACTAAAACCTCCGAACGGAAGTAATCTATCCTAGTTCAAGCTGTGAGAATTGGAATTCTAAACCTTTCTGCCATGTTGTAACGAGGTTACGATGCGGCGATGGGGTGGACTAAAGAGTTGTTTCTCGGTAGAGTGCGAGGGCAATGGTGACATGGCTGTTTTAGATCTGCGGCATTGCAATCTATCTTCCGTGCCAACAGATGTCTTCAGGGCTGAGCCAAACTTGGAAGAAATTTACCTGGATGCTAATCAGATTAGAGAATTACCAAGGGTACTTTGAAGAGTTTATTTATTTTTACTTCGACTCGGTCGTTTTAATTTAGTGTTCGTAATTTTGACATTGCTACGTTGGTATTTAAAAAGCGTTAACTTTTCCTTTGTTTTTTTCTGCCGCAGGCGTTGTTCGGGCTGCACAGTTTACACATCCTTGGCTTGAGTGATAATGAATTAACTGTGTTACCATCAGCTGTTTCAAACTTAACGAATTTACGAGAAGTTGACATCAGCAAGAACGGTGAGAAGTTATTTACTGCACTACCGCGTACGTTCGAATCGAACGTTATCTGAAAATTCTCTTGGTCTGTCGCTTATATCGTTCAGATCGATTAATCGTCATCTGTTTTTTGAAGGTATAATTGATTTGCCAGAAAGTGTGAAAAATTGCAAATGTCTGGAGCAGTTTGATGCGAGCGTGAATCCAATCGGAAAGTGAGTAATCGCAAGGAACATTTTTGTATACACTCTTTTATTGTCTTAATGTTTACTCTCTGTCTGTCTTTTGTTTTCGTTTTAATATTCTTATCAGAAGTCAACGTCTTTTTGCAAACTTTGTTATCAGCTGTTTGCTGTTCGTATCGGATTTCTTAGACTTGATATAAGAAGTTTTCCAGCGCATGATACATCTGTTGAACTAAAATATATTGCGCCAGAAAAAAATTAATTTTGGAAATTATCCAATTAAGATATTTCTTAAAAGTTGATGTTTTAATACGTGTTTCATGTCAAGTATATTTAATTTGTTTAATTTTCTTTGTTCTGTTAATTTATCTTGATCAAGAATGGTGTGTGGTTTTTAAGCTGTTCTACAAGAAAAGTATTAGGAAAAAAATTATAAATGAGCTTTTAAGGTAGAATTCACACCACAGAAAGCCTTGTAAACTTGCCAAAGTCATGTATTATGTCAAAAAAACCCACCCACACAACAGGAATTTGACAACTTAAGAGAAATTTAACTAATTTTGTCACATGCAGGTGAGTGTTTTCTGTTTTCTGATTATGTAAGAGTCTTATGACAGTATATTAATGCAAAGCATTCATCCTTTAAGACCTTCTTAATATCATTTGAGGATTAAATTTGTTTGATAATCCTGTTAAACAGGATTTTTGTGAAGATCCTGAAGGGTCGTCAAAAGGATCTTCAAAATTCTCAATCTCAATAAAGGTTCTCAAGGATTTTCGAGGGTCTTAAAGTAACTTGCCAAGATCTTTGAGGGCCTTGCAAAGACCTTTAAAAGAGCTTTGGCAAGATAATTTCTGAGATCTTTATAGATTGTCATCAAATTCAGGATCTTTAGAGGTTAAGGATCTTTGAAGAAATCCCTATATGTTTAAGGATCTTTGGCAATGCCTTAAAGATTCCTGATGTGACATGGATCTTTTAATTATCACATGTAAAGAGCTTAACAATATAATTAATTATCCTAGCAAAAATCCTTTGAAAGACCTCAGCAAGATCCCTTAAGATCCTGCTATGTTTTTCACCAGAGATGGCTCTTTGCATTATTCGTGATATAGATTTCATGAACGCAATAAAACACAGTTGTCCATGTTTTATAATTAATTTAATTTCTTTTATAAATTATGTTCTTTTTAGCCAACCAAACTGTGTCACAATTTGTGACTCAAAGAAATGATCAGAGCACAACAGAAATGTGCAGTTCTTAAAAAAAAATCATGGAAGATCATTGGAAATTTTGAGGTGGTGGGGAGAGGGGGTGGATCTCAAAATATCAAAAGGTTTAAAGGAAAGTATGGAGCTAACTGGAATTTCTGGGGGGTAGGAGGGGGTTCAAACAAAAAAAAAACCTTTCCTGGAAAGGGTATGAATTTTTTCTTGAACTTAACTATTTTTATGAGTGTTCCTTCTTTTCTCTTCCTAAATTCTAACTTGATTGTTCTGTTCCCTCATATTGAAATTATTAAGTTCTAGAAAATTGTTACTTCATTTTCCCAGAATTCCGGATGGCTTTACCCAGCTATTAAATTTGACACATGTCTATTTGAATGATGCGTTTTTAGATCGTCTGCCATCTAATTTTGGAAGGTAAGTTAAGTTTTGTGTTAATTTAGACCTGTGTTTTGATTATCCTGACTTTTTCTTCTTTTATGCCAAGTGTAGCTTTGTTTCTTGTAGGCATGTCACGGCTACGGTTACCATTTCTGTTCTTGTTTGTAGGTTATCAAAGCTCAAGGTTCTTGAACTGAGAGAGAACCACTTACGGTCCTTGCCAGAGTGAGTGCTGTTATATTTTTTTGTTAAAGGACAAACTATTAATTTTTTGAGGGGAGTTGGGCAATTTTCCCCCAAAATTTCTGCACAGCAGAAACTGCTGGAAAAAAAAAAAAAAACAGGTAAGGGGGCCCGTGGGAGAAAAAAATTGAGCAAGTGCTTTCTACCATCTAGGACCTATTCTTGATGTTAAAAAATTCTTGCACAAGCTATTGCCCACCAAGTTTATTTTTATATGGTGATGTTTATTTTCCTTTGCCTTGTTTTTAAAAGGTCTATGTCATATTTTACACAACTAGAAAGACTTGATATTGGAAACAATGAATTTATTGAACTGGTAGGTATTTGGTAAAAAATTAAACATCAGGTGTATATAATTTTATCTGTCTCTTATATGTTTTTTTTAGTATCATATAGTTTCATGAAGCACATAACATACATGATTTTGCATTCCAAAAAAGGTTAATGAGTACTTCCCTAACTCATGAACTGCCATTTTCAGATAATTTTTCAGTATAGGTATGATGTCCTCTTTAAGTACCGAGTAATAAGTGAGAACTTCTAGATTTAAAGATGGTGGTTTTTTTCGTAGCCAACAGTTGTTGGATGCTTGGTCAATCTTAAAGAACTCTGGATGGATAGTAATGGTGTAAGAGAGCTTCCCCCAGTAAGTATTGAAAACTGTACTTTCTGTACCTAAGGTGAATGAATAACTAGTGAGTTATCTACAAGTAGCTAGTTGCTACTAGAGCATAATGCTTTCTAGAAACATGGGATGGCCTGGTATCTCATTGAGGGATGTGTGTTTATTTCTCAAGCTAGCTGGGTAAGTAGCGGACAGGGATAGTGGTCATATGTTTTATTTACGGGTTGAAAATCATGCCACATTTAAAATTTTCGCAAGTGCATTATTCTGTTGTTCAGAGTATGTTCCCAAAATGAGCTAAAAAAAACCCCAGAAATTGCTGATAGTTAGATGGCTCTTGGCCAGCTTTTTGTCACAAATCACTCATCCCCTATAGAATCTACACTGGTGCCTTTTAGGGGTGCAGAATGAACTAGAACCACACCCAAAATTCTGGTACCTGTGGGGGTTTGGGGGGGGGGTGTCTGTGAATTTCTTACAGGCTTACCTATCAGAGGGGTTCCTGTGGGGTTAATTGGTTTTATTATTTCAGTGAAGTGGGTGATTAACTCTAATGCTATGGATATTTTTTCTTTAGGAAATAGGACTCCTTCGACAGCTTTTGTTTCTTGATGTTTCCAAAAACCAGCTGGAGCGTCTTCCACCAGAAATAGAATGTCTTCAGTCCCTCACTGATCTTTATTTGTCCAACAATCTGTTACTTGAGTTACTTGAAAACATTGGTAAGTATCATTTTCTGAATGTTACTTGATTGACTCTCCTAGTCAATGAACCCTGGGGAGTAGTTGTGGTTTAATTCAAATTCTCTGACAAGCACCCTTGACCTTTTCATAAGGGAGTCCCCCAAGCCAATGAACCATTTATTAGTCTAAGAATGGGAGTGTTTTTTTTCAAACACAGCTAAACATTAAAAGAGTCTAGATTTTTCCCTTATTTGCCTGAATCTTGCTAGTTACATTGTGTTATTTTTGTAGACCATTTTGGTTCCTAACTAAAATATTGTTGAGTACATGTACAAATGCTGGTTGGGAATTATTCATATAAACTGTTCCCTATCTTAATTTGTTTTAATCCTTTTGCTAACATTGAAGAACTTCTTGTGTTGACTAGGTTCCCTTGGAAATTTACAGACACTTAAACTTGACGAGAATCACCTTGTAGAACTTCCAGCCAGTATAGGAAGGTTATTCATGTATTTTTATCACTTCTTCAACTTCATTTGCTCCTTCTTTATTTCTTCTCACCGCTGGTTAGTTTGACAAGAGCATATTCACTTACACTGTAAAGTGAAGGGGACTTCTGGGAAAAAAACGTTCCTTTTTATTCATATTGTTGGCTTCTTGGTTAATCTGATATCTGAGTTTTTATGGTTCTTGTTACTTATTTCTGTCAGCACTTTCACTTTTTTTGTGTATTGTGTGTATCAAGAAAATATCTATACACAACCCAAGGGGAGTTACTGGAAATTCCAAGCAGGGTTAGGGGGGGGGGG